GTTATATGTTTAATTACATTCCGATATAAGAAAATCTTAATAGTAATTTATAAACTAAATAAAATATAGATTACAAAGAATAATTTAGTGAAATATTTTAGATAATAAAAAGTCAAAAAATAAGACCGTATTTTTATTTTTTATATTATTAAGGAATTCCTTTGGCTATATATAGTGGATATATAGAAATTATTGTGAGAAAAACATTAAATAATTAAAAAAATGTTAATAATGAAGTTTCTAATATTTTAATTGCTTTAGGAGTTTCTTCTATAATAGGAGGATATATATCAGGGAAAATATTAGATAGGTATATAAATATTATTATATATATATATTTCTTATTTATATAGATTTGGTAAGATTTATATTATGAGATTTCTAAAGTATTTATTTTAATTTATTATTTTATTGATATTTGCGTGTATGTATTTTGAAAATTATTATTTGAGTTTTTTTATTATGTTTTTATTGGGATTTTTCCAATGTTCGGTAAATAATACTGTTTAAGTTATTGGTAGTTAAGAATTTTAAGGATAAGACTAATATTTTTCGATTTCAAAAATAGTATCGTCTGGTATTTTTTTATATTTTAGCTTATTTATATTATCTTAAAACATTATAATCCTTATTTTTATTTATTATTTATATAAATTATTTAGATTTTTGTTGTTTTAAAATGAATTAATTTTATATAATTGATATAAAATAGTTTATGTGAATTTTTTTTTTTTATTTATATTTATATTTGTTGAGTTTTTTTTTATATAATATAAGTTAAAATCATTTATAAATTTAATAATTATTATAACAATTTAAATATATATCATATTAATTAAATTAATATAAAAATATTATTGAATATAATTATATGAAAAAAAGTTAATAATAATTAAAAATTTAATATTATACTAAAATTGTGGATGATATTTTTAAATAATAAAAATGAAAATTAGTTAATTATGTTATTCTTTATGTATCTATTTCAAAAATTAAATTATAATGTTTATTAATCATTTAATTATAAATAAATTAAGACTTAAAATCATTATTATTAATATTAAAACATAAAAATATATAAATATTTTATATTTTAAATATATTTAATGAAGAAAAAATATTATATATAATTTTTTAATGAATATTATTTATTTTTAATAAGAAATTTATAATTTGCATAAAAATTTGCTTATATAAATAATTTATATTATATAATATTTTCTAATGATTTCTTGATTTTATAAATAAATAATAGAATTATTTAGCTTTATATACTTATGTTTAAATTTTTCATTTCATAAAAATAAATATTTTTATGTGGGATTTTGATAAGTACGAAATAATAAAACTAATATATTTATAGATATGCGAAAATTTTAAATATAGGTTTAATTAATAAAATCTAGTTTAAGATTACGATTTTAATTATTTATTACGATAAACATATGAAGTTAATTATATTGTATTTTTAAAAAATATATTTACATTTTTTTTTAGATTTAATAAATAATTTTACTAAAGCTTAAAATATTTTTTTTTAAATTAAATTAAAAAAATCTTTCTTTAATATTTTAAAAAAATCTTTTATATTTAAAGCAAAACATAATATTTTTTAAAGTTATAGATTTTATTTATTTTTATATTTTGATTTAATTTTAATATATATTATATATAAAAGATATTATTATTACTAATTTAATTTTTTTATTTTATATTTCTTAAAAGAATTTTAATTAATATTATACTAAATTAAGTCAATGAATCAAAAAATTAAATTATATATAAAATTAAAACAATGAAACTTATAATTAATAAAAATAAAAACTATATATTTATAAAATGTCTTTATACTAAGCAATTATATATTTCCATATTTTTTTAAAAAATATTTAATAATAATTAAATTATAAATACAATATCTTAATATAATTATTTGTATTTATTTGCAAAAAAGATAATTTAAAAATATTCATATAAATTTATATTTATTATAGTCCATGTAGATATTTATCTTAGTTTAACAATATGTATGTGCTTATCTTTTAATTAAAATTTCTAAAAAAATTCTTAAACTTTTTTATATTAATATTCTATAAATTCTATAATATACTTGATAATTGTTATAACTGAGATTTTTATTGGATTTGAGCATTAAAATATATAATTTAATAATGACAGAAACATAATATCTTTAAAACTATTAAATATTTTAATTGATTATAGAAGATTTTCGAAATATTAAAATAAAAATATGCAAATATAATTAAATAGTTAAATTTAATTATTATAGAAACAATATTATATATAATACTTTATTTATATATATATTTATTATGTACTATTATAATTTATAATTTTTAAATGTTTATTAACTTTGTTTTGTGATTTTTATGTATATAATTTAACTTCTGTATTAATTTCTTCATATTATAATGGGAAATTATAAAGTGTTTGAGATTTATAGAAAATTTTTTTGTGCTTCTAATTTTAAATTCAAATTTTAAATATTTTTTTAAAAAGATATTTTAAGTATCTTTTATTTTTTAATTTTATTGGGTATTGAATAATTTTTTTTAAAAAATAGTTTAATATTCACAAATCGAAACATTAAATTTAGTATTTAATATTTTACCATAATTGTGATTATTATTTAAAATTAAATACTATAAACTTGTATTATTTAGATGTACAAGTATATATTTAGCTTTAAAATTAATATAGACACATTTATGATATTAAATAATTCTATTTTATTAGATATTAAAATTTAATTTAATAAATTATATTTAAATAAAAATATATTTTTATGGAATGTAAGAAAATCCATTTTTTGGCAATAATGTATTTATTTCATTTTAAAAAAAGATATTAAAAAAATATATATAAAATAAAATATAAATAATCATAAAAAATCATTTATTAATTTTTTTAAATAAAAATTAATTAAATATATATATATATAAAATATATATATTTATCTATATATATATATTTATAAAAATTTATTGAATATTTAAAAAAATTATATTTAAAATAAAAGTATATTAGATATTTAAATATAATTAATTACTAATATAATATTTTTTTTAAATAGCAAATATTTTATTTTTGTAATATTAAATATTTCTAAAACATATATTAATATTTAAAATAAATATATTTTTTTATTTAATATGAATTATAAAAATAAAAACTTCATTTTTAATTTTTAAAGAAGTATTTATATTTAATTTATTATTATGAGTTATTTAGCTATGCTTGCATTTTCATAAATATAACCTGCAAAACATAGTAAAATATATTATAAATAACAATTTTTCTTTTAAATACACTCAATATATTGAAATAGTTAATTTATCTTCGTAATCTCATGAATTTCATCCTCCAGGAACACCCGAATTTGATATTTATTTATCATTATCTATATGTAAATACATAATTATATATTTTTTTTAAAAAAAAATGCATTTTTTTTTTTACAATAAATATTTTTTTTAATAAAAATTTAATTATAAATTTTATTTATATTAAAATTGTATACATAAAGTTGTTGTATGCCTAGCTGGTATCTGTTCTGGATTAAATGTTGGTTATTTATCAATTGATTAATTATAATTATAGGTTATGTTAAAAAGTGGTACAGAAATTGAAAAACAAAGAGTATTTTTTTAAACAAACAAAAAATTTAAAAAATATTTTTAGGCAAACAAAGTTATTCCTATCCTAAAAAATCACCATTTATTATTATCAACTTTATTAGTAGCTAATGCTATTGCAATGGAAGCTTTACCTATATTTTTGCATTAAATAGTCCCAGCTGCAGCTTCGGTTATTATTTCTACTATTGTAGTCCTTATTTTTGGTGAAATTGTACCTTAAGCTTTATGTACTGGCCCTAGATAATTATAAATTGCGGCATTTAGTACACCTATTATTATGTATTTTTGATTCAAAAAATATAAATATCAAAATTTATATTTTTTGAATAGGTTTTTTGAATTTATATTATGGCCAATATGTTACCCTATAGCAAAATTTTTAGATTTGTTTCTAGGAATACATGAAGTAACTAAATTTCCAAAAAAAGATATAAAGGCTTTAATTGAAATACATTAAACATCAGATGATTAAACAGGACATTTATAACATGTAAATAAAATTGCATATATAATATAAATTAAATATAAAATAAAAGTTTGGATTTAATTAAGAAGAAGTAAGAATGTTAAAATCAACTCTAGAATTAAGAGATTAAAAAGTTTGTGATAAAATGATACCAATTGATAATGCAATTTTATTATTTTATTATTTTTATTAATTCTTTTTTATTGTTTTAATAATATAATTGTAAAATAGGTTTATATGCTTAGTACTGATAGCTTTTTTGATAGAGAATTAATAAAAGAAATACATAGCAAAGGATATTCAATGATACCAATTTATAAAGGAAATGATAAAACATGTATTGAAGGTGTATTAAGAACTAAATATATATTAAAATGTGAAGAAAAACATTTAAATAAAGTAAATTATATGCGATTTATATAACTTTTTAAAAATTATAACATATTATATTATATAAATAACTATTTTTGAAAAAATATCATAAAATAATAAAAAAAAATATTATAAAAATAATTATGTGCTTTAATTAAATTAAATTAATTAAAATTATATAAAAAAAGTTATAAAAATAATATATATATATATATATATATATATATATATATATATATATATATTATATATAGCCTATTGCAAATAGATTTCCTTTAACTAATCCTTTAATGATTGTTTAGGATACAACTATGTTATAAATGATTTAAATTTTTTAATCTTAAAAATCTTCAATGGCATTTATAACTGATGAAATTAAGAATAAAATTAAGATGAAAATAAAAATTATATATGAGTGTAATATTATTTTTATATTTTTTTTGGTTAAAAAAATCTTTTAAGAATAAAGATATGATTGTTGAGAATTATAACTAGATATTGGGTATTATATGCTTAAAAGATGTTTTTGAAGAAATTATTGATAGAGATTTCTAAGATGATGATGCAAATTAGAATATTATAGTATTTATATTTATGATTTTAACTCTTTTTAATTTTATTATTTTTTAAATATTAAAAAGAAAAATTATGAAAAAAATTTAAACAAAGTAGATAAAGTTTAAGTTAACCTTTAATTGAATGAAAAAAAAAAAAAAAAAAAAATTTTTTGCTTAATAATAATATATAAAATATTAATATTTAACTAAATTTTAATATAATATTGTATATAGTTTTTATTTTTAAATTAAAATTGAAAAAATAACTTATTTATAAAAAATATATATTTATAGAAAAATATTCATTTGATGAATTTAACTATTATAAATTCATTAATATATAATGCCTAAAACAATATGTAATTAATATAATAAATAAATACTATCCATACTTTATATAAGAATTTTTAATTCATAAATTAAAAATTTAAACACAAGTAATAGTCTATAAAGCTAAAATACTTCTGTTTTTCATTTATAAAATCAAGTAATAATAATAGAATATAAATTATTTATATAATAATCATATATCCAAACATATATTTATGCAAATTATAAATTTCTTATAAATATAACAAAAAATAAATTAAATAGTAAATATAATATTTATTCTTCAGTAATTATATTTAAATAACTAAAGATTCATATATTTTAATATTAATAATAATAATAATATATTATGTCTTAATTTTTTAAAATTAAATGATAAATAGATATTATAATTTAATTTATTGATAATAAATTCATAAAGTCTTCATATAAAATTAATTTTGTATTTTTATTATTAAAAGTATATTTTAAATCTTATGTATATTCATGCATTTTAAATAATTATTATCTTTTTTTTATATAATTTTTTTCAATATTATATTTATAAAAATATAATAAATTAAAAATTTACTATTCATAATGATAAATAAATTAAAATAAATTTAAAATAATTATATAAATAATTTTATCTTAAAATATAAAAAAAGGAAAAATCAACTAATATATATATATATATATAAACTAAATATATAAATAAATTCAATGTAAAATGATTAAAATCTAAACAATTTAAATAAATAATAAATAAAAATAAGGATTGTATTATTTTAAGATTATAAAAATAAGTTAAAATATAAAAAAAACAACAGACAATACTATATTTGCAACTGAAAAATATTAATCTTAACCTTAAAATTCTTAAACACCAATAACTTAAAGAGTATTATTAACTGAACATTAAAAAAATCCCAATAAAAACATAATAAAAAAACTCAAATAATAATTTTCAAAATACATACAGATAAATATCAATAAAATAATAAATTAAAAAAAAAACTTTAGAAATATCATTACAAAATTCTTACCGAATCTATAAAAATAATAAATATATATATATATATATATATATATATATATATATATATATATATATATATATATTTAATTTATATAATTTACCTATCTATTATTTTTCCCTGATATATATCCTCCTATTATAGAAGAAACTCCTAAAGCAATTAAAATATTAGAAATTTCATTATTAATATTATTTTAATTATTTAATGTTTTTCTCACAATAATTTCTATATATCCACTATATATAGCCAAAGGAATTCCTTAATAATATAAAAAATAAAAATACGGTCTTAATTTTTGACTTTTTATTATCTAAAATATTTCACTAAATTATTCTTTGTAATCTATATTTTATTTAGTTTATAAATTACTATTAAGATTTTCTTATATCGGAATGTAATTAAACATATAACAAGAATATCCTGAAACTAATGTTAAAACAATAAACATACCTAAATTACCAACTAAATATAAAGTAATGCTTGATAAAATAGGACTAATTAAAGACGAAAATGAAAAAATAATCCAAAAAATACCCGAAAGTCCTCCGATTTAATTAGGATAATTTTATAAAATCGAATTCACATAAGAACCTTAAGCAACCTTATTTTTTAAAAATATAAATTATAAGACAAACTTTACTAATTTACCCATAAAGTAGAAGCCGCAATACCAGTTAAAGAAGCACAAATTAAAACAATAAAATAAACAATTTAGTCACTACACAATCCTTAATTTTATAATTCACTGCATAAACAGACCCATATCCCAGATGATACAAATAATGTATAAGGAATCGAACTATAGAAAAAAACTTATAAATATGTATATTTACTAACGTAAAAATTAGCAAATACACAAGCTATGGCAAAGAAAAAATATATAAACAATGTAGAAAGTAAACCTAAATTATTATAATTCATACTAGCATATAATGTGCCTATTAAATTTTATGCGGAAATAAAGGCCGAAAAAAGAATTAGAAATATAATGGATAACCTTTTTATTAATTTTTTTGGGTTCTATTTTTATAAATTATTATTTTCTATTTCAAAAATTTATTTTATATTTATTTCTAATTATTCATTTGAAAATTTCATTTTTTTTTAATTTCTTTTTTTATTTATTTAGATTTTGTTTTTAATATTACTAAAATTAAATTTTTATTTAATGCAATTTATATAAATTTAATATGATTATATATTAATTTTTATATGAAGTTTAAATTATAAACATATGAAAGAAATTTTTATAATTTATTTTAATTTTTATAAAAAATAAATATGGGTCTCAGAAATTTTAATATTAAAAATATATTATGTTAAACGAATTATAAATTATTATAATATTAATTTTCGTAGCTTTTTTAACAGTTTAGACTTATTATTTATAATATTAAAATTACATAAAGCTGCTAGTATATTTATATAATTTAAGCCTAATTATTTTTCTAATAATTAGAATAAAAATTTATATAGTTTATATTTTTTCAAATAAATATTAAAGGATAACTAAAGCAAAACTATAAACTAATAACTCATATAAAAAATAAAAATAATAAAAAATATATATATATATATATATATAAGAATATAAATACCAATAATTAAATAATCAAAAAAAATCTTCGAACAGTAAATAAAAAAAAAAAACTTTGTCTAATCTTAAAAAAATATCAATTTTTTTTTATATATAAAATTTATCTAATAATTCACCAAATTTTAAATAAATTTACTAATTGATAATTAAAATTTTATTAATTATTTAAATATTTTCTATAAACTGATTTTAGATATTCACAATAAAGGATTATAATAATTTTCTTAATAAAAAAATAAAGTTATTACTTTTAGTAATAGTTTATTTATATTTATCATAAACAATTGCCTATTATTTTTTTTAAAAAAAAATCCGAATATATAAAAAAAAATGTTAAAAAGTAATATATATATGGTTTAAGTTATCAATTTTTAAAAAATATTTTTCATTTATTTTTTAAAGTTTTAATTATATTATCTTAATAAAGTTATTTTTTTTAAATATATAACAATGATAAAAAACATAATTTTAAAAAAGATAAAAAAAGTCTAGCATGATAAAATTTAATTTAATTAAAGTTCTTTTAAATAATAGAAAATAAGAGCATTAAAAGTTTTTTTTATTATAATTTAAAAAAATAAATGCCCATAAAATAAAAGCCGTAATTTCCATTCAAAGAAAAAAATAAAAAATACAATTAAATGATATTAAATACATTTCTTATTTAAAATAGTTTCTTAATTTAATATTAATTTTATTGTTTATTTATTGAATAAAATATAATTTTTATCATTTTGTTTTTTTTACATAAATAAATTTTAATATAAAAAAAAATATTTTTTTAAAACAAAAATATATTGTATAAACTATAAAAATAATATATAATTATTTTAATGTAAAAAAATAATTAAGTAAAAAAAAGATTTTAGTTTAATTTTATTTTTATATTATCTTTATAATAATTTAGTTTTTATAAAAAAAATAGCAAAATATTATATTTGTTAGTTATTTATATATATCTAGATTATAGAAATTTGGTATAATTAATGAATAAATTAATTGTTTACTATTTAACTGAAAATTAACTTATTTATATAAGATTAATTTTGCTTATTGTATATTAATTTGTAATTATTTATTCTAAATAATTAATAATATTTTTTTTAATTTATTAAATATATCTTTTTTTATATAAATAATATATTTTTAATATTTTCTTATTAAATAAAGTAAAATATATCCTTTTTACATAATAAATATTATAATAATAATGAATATATTATCACATAATAAAATATATATTTAAATAAAATAATTATATGTAAAAATTTTTAAATAATATAAAATATAACATGAGTTTTAACATTATATTAGTTGAAAAATTTAAAAATAAATTTTACTTTTTATTAAATAGAAAATATAAATTCTTTATTAGAAATAAATTTTATATAAATATATTTATTATAAAAAATATAAATATTTGTTTTAAATATATAATACTAATCTTCAATACTTATTTATAAAATTCAAAATCTATATATATAATTAATTATAAAATAATATATATCATTATATTGATAAAAATGAAATTATACCATAGGAAAAATCTAAACAAAAATTTATATATTGGATAACTATAATTAATTACTTTTTGAGTTTAATTTTTTATATATTAATAGCAAAATCTAAAAAATAATTATTAAAATTACGAATGATCACATATTAAAATAACATAAAAAAGAATGAAAAATATTAGTTTTCATATAAATTTTTACAATAAATCTAATTTTATTATTTTATTTTTTCTATTTTAAATAGTAATTTATTAGTATGTTTTGTAAAAAACTTTTTGAAATGATATAATATAAAACTACTAAAAATTTAATTATATTTTAATGATAAAATTCATTATAAGTTTTTATTAAATAAAAGAAATATATCGACTTCATATAATTTTTTTTAAAATAATATTGAAAAAATTGGATTTTTTTTATTTTTTCTATCATATATATAAAATTTAATCAATATTAAAAAAATTAATAATAATTATATTTTATTATATTATATAATAAAAAAAATTATATATTGTATCTTTTTCAAAATAAATAAATTTAATTTTCTTTTTTTATATTAAATAGATTTAAAAATGGATGAATCTTAAGAAGTTTATTTATAATCAAAAATGAATAAATAATAATAAAATGAAATTTATAAAACTTAGTTTAATACAATAAATTATTTAAATTTGCATTACATATATGAAATTTGCTCATAAAAATGCATTAAGTAATAATAATTATACGAAAAAAATCTAAATAATGATGAAAAAAAATGTTTAAGTTATTGTTTTGATTATAAAAATTAAACATTTAATAAGTTTATGACAACTTTAAGTAAAGAATATTATTAAAATACATGAAATTAAATATATAAAAAAAAATATGTTTAGTTATTTAAAAATTGTATATAATTTATTTTAACTTTTAGTAAAAAAATTAAAATAATATAATATTTTATTTATATAAAATTATTTTATAACTAAAATTATTTAATTAATATGTAAAAATAATAATAATATATAAAATAAAAAAGTAGTTAAATATAATTATTCATTATCTTATTTGATTGAATAAACAATTATGTTATATAATTTATAAATTTTAATATATATTATTGTATAAATTAATAATTTATATTACAAATGTAAAAAAAAAATAATAAATATAAATTTAAATATATATATATATATATATATAAATTTTTATATATTCAGATTTATTTTAATATATTAATTTATACTAATATATATTAATAATACAAATAAAATGTTAATTAAATAAAAATCTAATATTATTTTTATTTTTTTAAATTAAATAATATATCCAAAAATTAATTATAGTTTTTTTTTATTTTATTAAAATTTTAGTTTATAAATGTTTATATATTTATATATCAATAATTTTTTTTTTATTTTATTTTTATATTAAATAAATTATATAATAATAGTGTTTTAAATTTTATAATCAATAATTTTATTTATTTTAATTTTCGTCTAAATAAAGGCATTTATATGTGTATAAAATACAGTTTTTAATAAGATTTTATATTTAAAATATTATAAATTTATGTTTAAATCATATATATAAAAACTTGTATAAAATTTAAAAAAATGTAATGATTAAAATAAAATAAAATGATTAGATTATAATACAATTATTTTATTATAAAAGTAAATTTTATAAGATATTATATCAATTAAATTTAATAAAGTTTATATATATATATATATATATATATATATATATATGCATTATCTAAAATTACAAATATAATATGTACTTAATATATTTTCAATTTTTACACTTTTTTAATAAATCAATAAAAAAAAATTAATTTATATATTTAATAATATTGCTTAAATCGTTTAATTTTCTAATTGTAAAAAATAAAAAATAAAAAAAAATTATATTATATTATATTTTTCAAAAAAAAAAAAAAATTAAAATATTATATTTATTTTTTTTATAAAAAATAATTCATTTACTCTTTTAATTATTAATTTTGTATTTATTAACAGGAATCTTTATAATATTTATATAATTCCTCAATATTTTAACATAAGTCATAAAATATGTTTTAAATAAATTACGAAGGCGATGATTAATCTATTTTTTATAATAAAAATTATAAATTCTCTTAATAATAATTATAACAATTATTATCTTTATTATCTTAATAATTCTTCTTAGCTATAAAAACAAACAAATTAATTTATTTTTTATTAAATTCTTTTATTATTATTTCTACTAGAATTTTAATTATTCCTTCAAAAATCTCATTTTTGTTTTGAAATTTTTAATTCAATTTCCATAAACAATCACAATATTAAAAACACTTTTTTTTATATAAAAAATATATATATTTTTTTAAGAAATACTAATTATTTATTTTATTATAATTCATAAATTCTACAATATAAAAATTAACATTCTATAATATTTTACACATATAAATCTTAGTTTTATCTAAAAAATTCTAATGCAATTTCAAGATAATCAATACTTTCATTAAATTACCCTTTTATTTATTTACTTTTTTTTATTTTATTTTTAAACAAAAAAATACCTTTTAAAAATAACAAATTAGCTAATTATTAACATAAATTTGCAAATTTTTCGTACCTTAAATTATTAACTTCATAAATTTCAATAGCCTTAACAAGAAAAACTATAGATTCATCCCAAAGATTCATATTCTAATAAACGTTAGCCAGATCTTTATATGTATCGGCATTAAATATATGAAATTCCCCAAGACATTTTTTTGAATTAATTAAACTACTTTTATATAATGCCACAGATTCATCAAACTATTTTTTCTGTAAATAAAAATAACCCAAAACACTGTAAAAAAGTGAAAAAAGAGGATGAAAAAATCCAAAATTCCATTGTATAATTTACACCCCTTAATCAAAAAATTCTATACATTTTTCCTCTTGAAAAATTTTTGCGTTGATAATATTTATAATAGTTTTAATTAATTAGACATTATTAAATTTTTTATATAGACTTAAAATTTCTAAGGATTTATGTAATGATTCTTCATATTTTTAAAATATTAATAATAAATCAGTTTAATCATTATTTAATTATATATAAATTTAATCTTCATTTTGAGAATTTTTCAGTGTATTTTTTAACATTATTTAAGTTTTTAATTTTTCAAAAGCCTCCTCGTATTATTTTTCGTTTTTTTCTATTTACTATTTATAATTAACACTATATTTTTACAATAAACATTCTTTTAAATCAAAAAATTTCTCTTTTACTAAAAAAAATATTTAGTTTTTTTAAAATTATACTGGCCTTATTTGCTCAAAAAAATATATTTTTTCATCCCAAGAAAATTTTATATTACAATTGTATTAAAGAGAATTCAAAAAACTACCGATTTTGATTAAACTACGATCTATTTAACAATTATAATTATACATGCTTTGTATATTTATTATTTATTCCCAAAAAAGATCTGTTTCTTTAGAACAACTTAATATTAAATTCAAAAAATCGATCATATTACATTCCTAAAAATACTCTTTTTGGCAATCTCGGAGTACTTTTTTACATATACGGACACTCATTTCCACTTAGCATATTTATTTTATGTGATAAAGACTTGTTTTTTCAAATATTTCACCTATTTAGGAAATTTTTAGTCCATGTTCATGTAAAATCTACATATTAAAGCATATACATATATAATTTTTTTAATATTATAAAAAAATACTTCTGTAAAAGTGAAAGTATCTAATGGTAAGATTTCACAATTTTCAATTTTTTTTAAAAAAACAAATAAATTTTGGTCATCAGGTTTATTTATGAAATTATCTAATATATTTAAAATGAAGAAAATATTTAAATTTTCCGGTAAAGATTTCTGATTATTATTATTCTTTTTTTATTATTCACATAATCTTAAATCTTCATAATCATTATCTTTTTATTTATATATATTAAACTTCTCTAATTTTATTTATAATTTATTTTCTAATAAAAATATATCTTCTTATATTTGGTTGTCTATTTTGTTTATAAATTAACTTTTAAAATTATTTCCGTAGATTAAAGATTAATCTTCTATATTAGGAATTGCTAAAGCTAGAGCATGTACCCCTTTATATTCTAATAAGCAACATAAAGGGATTCTTAAAGAAAATTTTTTATCAATTTACATTTATTTTAATATAGTATTATTTAGAATATTATAATTTTTAAATTCTATTTTTTTTTTAAAAAATAATTTACAAAATAAAATAAAAATTAAACCTTTTTATAATTATTTTATATCATCTTAATCATAAATTGTTATAATTTCTTCTGGATTTTCAGAAATTCGAATATTTTTAGTTTAAGAATAAGCTAGTTTGAATAAAATATTATCTTAAATATAAATTTTTTAATTATCAAAATTTTATAAATAATGATTTTCTATATTTTAAAACTTTTATTATTATTAAGTATTTTTTGAATATTCAATAATATTTTTGAAAATCTCCTTAGCATTTTCTTTAAATTCATTTACTAAATCAAATATTTATTTTAATAAAGAAATATTAGTTTCTTGATTTTAAATAATATCCTAATCACTTTATATTTCTAGTTATTATAAATATCTATAATTCCATTATTAATTTATTTCTTTTAGTCTATTTTATTATCTTTCATTTTCTATTTATTGTTATTTTTCTTAAATTTCTTATTATTTCTTTTATATTTCTTCCATTTCTTTCAATTATTATCTATTTATTTTCTCTTATTCTTCTTTCTGTTTTCTTTTAATTATGTCTTCATAATCTTCCTCGATTTCTTCTTCTTAAATGACTCCTTACATTTATTTTTTTAAACTATGGAATTCACTATTCAAATTTATATCAGGCTTTTTAAGATATATTAATAATTGAATCTTTTTTATTTTATTTTTTAAAAACAATAAATACATATATATTATTTATTACCCATTTATCTCTTTATTCTTTAGTCTCACATTTAAAATTCCATTTAGTAATTTTTAGTTTTTTCTTCTTCTTTTTTTTGCTATCATCTTCTACCTCTTAATTATCTTCCTCATCTTTTTTTAACTCTAATTCTTCCAGACTAATGTTATTTATAATTTCTGATTTATGAATTTTGTCTATAGTATTAAATATAATGACAAAACTAAGTCCTGATTTATCCTTTTCTACTGGCAAAATGCTTATTATATTTCCCACTAAAACTGTCGATTTTGGCAGTTCTTGTATATTTTCTAAATCTTCTTCTGTTCCATTAAACTTTTTTGGAACTCGTGAATAATATGCTAATACTCCATTTTTTAAAACTAATAGTCTTTTATGGTGATATATACTAGCTTTATTTTTTTATTTATTAATTTGTTTTTTTATTTATATTTTTACAATGGTTTAGCTTTAGAACTATTTCAAAATGTTTAATACTTTTTAAATATTATGATCTACTTTGTAAGTTTATAGAATTTTATGTATATGATTTACTAAGGAAAGGTTTTTGTGGGGTATTTTCGGAATAGATTTAATCGACTGATGTTTGTGATTTAATTAAACTAAATTTTTGTTCAAGTTCTAATTATTTAAATTGATTATTACTCATTTATTTATTATTATTATTTTTAATAATTAAATTAGTATATTTATGAATGATAATTTAAAAATTTTATGAATAATTAATATTTAATATCTCTTTATATTATAATTTTAATATAATTTTTATGTTTTGTTTAGAAATTAATTTATTAAAAAAAAATTTGTACTTATATAGAGATTGATGCGTTATTTATATAAAAAAAAAAACAAATAATATATATTAATAAAATAAATTAAAAATAATATATATATTTTTACTAAACAAATTATTATTAAATACAATTAATCTTATTTTTTATAAAATATAAAAATAAAAAAAAATGTTTTTTTTTTTAATAATAAAATATAAATCTTCAAATACTAAGAGTTTGATATAAATAGTCATTTTGTAGTTAATAGTATAATTATAACTCTAATTATAAAAATATTTATTTATTTAAAAAAAAATTAAATCTAAAAATAAAATAAAAATAGTTTTAACCATAACTGATAATGCAAAATTAATAAAAACTATTAAAAATTCGATATAAATATAATTAATTAATAATTAATTAAAAAAAGATAAGTATAATATTTTTCATTTTCAAATAAAATAATAAATAGAAATTGTTTATACATTGTCATTAGAATATAATTATGATTATATTTGTTAAATATGTTTTGAAATAAAATTTAAATATTTATCAATGAAATAATTAAATTGATATTTTTAAAAATTAACATTAAGGCATTAAATATTATTCGATAGCTTTAAGAAATAATTTTTCAAACATTATTAAAAAAAATATTTTATTGATTTTATTGAATTTAAAAAAGCATATTATATATTTTATTTAATTTTTCAATGCATTAAAAAATTGGAATGTATATTGGCAATTTAAGATAAATTATTCTTTTAATTTTATAAATTATATAAAATATATTATAAGAATATAAATTTATGAATACTATTATATTTAATAAAAAATTTAAAAACTCCTAAATTTAAACTATTATAGTAAATTTTATTGAAAATAGAGAAAATAAAATTTATTATAATACAAACTATTAAGGTAATAAAAATTCTGATATTAAATAATGATTGATGATAATATATATTTTATTAAATAAAATTATTAAATATATTTTATTTTCAATTATTAATATTTAATTTTTAAGATAAAATAAAATATTGTAAAAATATATAGGTATAAAAAAATAGAAAAATATATATATATAAATTAAAAAATAAATATTAATTAAATAAAAATAAATATATAAATAAAATAATTATTTATAAATAAATTTTAAATTTTTATTAATATATATATATATATATATATATTTCTTTCTTTATAAATAATTAATAATATATTTTTTATAAATTAATAAATTTTTTTTTATTTATTAAAATATCATATATTTTATAATATATAAAATGATATAATTTTTTATTAAAAATAAATTTATAAATCATAATTAATTTAATGCATATCAATATAATAATTAATTATATTTATATAAAAAATAAAAATTATTATATATAATTAAATTTTATATATATTTTAATATATTTAAAAAATATAAAATAATTTTAATTCTATACTCAAATTATTAATATAAATAATAATAAAAATGGATTAAATAAATTAATATGAAAATTTATCTACAATTAATATTTAATTTTCCAATTTGTAATTATATATTTAGCTTTTATATATTTGATATTATTTTGTGAATTTTTATCTTTTTAAACTTTATTATTCTTTTTATTTTTGTTGAATAAAAACATTAATATTATAAAATATAAAGCATAAATACAATAAAAAATGCACAAACATTTTTTTTGAATTAATCAAAAGTAATCTAAAGCAATATAAAAAATATAATTATTAATCAAATTTTTGAAACCTTAAAACAATAATAATTTTTTATTCATTATTCTAATTTTGCATATAAATTTCTTTGATAAATAAATTTAACTTAATGTGAAATTTTGTACAATAAACAATTAGAAAAGTATTTAATATAATAATTGAAAAAAAATTAATAAATAAAAAAAACAAAACTTATAATTGAAAATAAAAAAAAAATTAATTAAAAACAAAAATAGATAAAAATCTTATTTAAAATTAAATCACTTTCGGAAGTTTATAAATAAACGTAAAAAAAAAACAGTAATAAATAATAATTAAAATTAAATAAAAAAATTCTAAAAATATATTAAAAATTAGATGCTTTTTCTGAAGAAAATAATATTTTTTTATTATTTTACGTTTACAAAAATAATAATTTATATAAAAATAATAATTTAAATATATTTAATATAAATTCGAGTAATAATAATTTTAGTGTGATTAATTATTTTTTAACATAAGTAAATTTTTTTCAAAGAAATATAGATTAATACTTTGAATCTTTAATTCTTAAAATTATTTTAAGCAAAAGTTTAAAGAAAATTAATATAAATAAGAGTTAAAAAATGCATTATAGGAACATTATTTTTATTTCAAAAATTTAAAATAATATAAAAAAGGAAACAAGCTTAAATGTTCCTTATTTTATCTTTATGAAAATTTAGATCTATATTTATTGAATTTAAATTCATATTTTTTTATATATTTTAATAGCTGAGTATTTATAAGTGATATATATATTTTTTTTTCAAATATAATTTATATATTTTTTTTTGTAGAATTTTACTAATCCAAAAAATATAAATTTATTAAAGCCCTCTATTAATACAAATTAAATAATATAGAAATACAGTTTATTTGATAAGGATTTAAAAGAATTAAATAAAATAAGAAAAGCAATAAATCTTAAGTAAAAGGAAAATTAATTATTTTTGTCATATAATTAATATGAAAATATATTCTAAAAAATATGAATATCATATATTAAAAATATATATTAATATATATAATATGATTAATTTATGTATTATTATATAAATATATATGTGATTAATTTAAAATTGAAGATTTAAATATGAATAATTATTAATAATAATATTTTAGTATTCTATATAAATAGTTTTATGAAAATATTATAAATTAAAATCATAATAAACAAAGTTTTTGCAAATTTTTTAAAAAGTAAATTAATTTTTTATCAGAATATGTTTTTTAATTATATAATTAATTTAATACAATATATTATTTAAAATAATTATCCATAAAAAATCATCCTTTAAATTTAAAATTAAATATATAAATAATTAATTTTATGTATAATAATTAATTGGAATGTTAGAATTTTAAAAATATAAATATATATTTTCAACATTGTTTTTAATTTCTAATTGTAATATTTAATTTTATGAAGATTAAAAAGTTTTAATATATGATTACTTTTTTCTAAAAATACATATTTACTAATAAACATATTATAGTTGATGACTTTAAATTTTTAAAAATAACGAACATATTTTAAAATTGTTGATTTACTCTTATAATCAATCTAATTATTTCAAAAACAATCTAAATTTTTATTTAGTAATTTAATTTAGATTTTATAATATAAATAATTAATTTTAAAAAAGATAAACTATACATATCTTAATTTACAAGAAAAATATAAATAAAAAGAAAATATAAAAATCACGCTATAAAAAAATGGAACAAAAAAAAAAGTAATAAAAATAACAAAAAAACATAAAGCATAAATAATTTAATATAAATATGAACAAAAAAAAAGACGACTTTTAACAATTCCAGAAAACAAAGGATTATTTCATAATTTTAAATTCGAAATACAAATCCCATTCCCCCCTGTAGCATATCCAAAAACATTATATTATTAATTAGATCCAGACAGACATACAAAATCCAAAACATTAAACGCAGAAGTAAAAGAGATTTGCAATTTATTAGTAAACTGTGATTTGGGTTTATCAGTAGATGATCTTAACATGAAACCACATATTTATAACTTATAAGAAGGGTCTAATATAAAATAGGAGGTTATAGACGAAGCCGATTTAGCATTAATAAATGAAGATATACAAATAAGCGATACCGAAGAAAATTAAGAAAATATTTAAGAAAAAGAAAAAGCTTTGATAGATTAATAGAAGAAAATAGAATAAAAAAAAATCTTTAATAAATATAATAATAATAGCAAATGTAATAAAAAATACTTTAATTAAATAAACCCTTATAATAATAAACAAAATAATATACATAATTTGAATAAGTATTAGAAGATATCGAATAAACGTTTTAACCATAAAATATATAACATCCTAAAAATATCTTAAAAGCAAAAAAAATATATAACTTATTACCTTTTAATTAAAATTGTTAAATGGGAGTAATTCAAGAAAATGAATTTTGGGATCATTTATAAAAAGATTAATTTAATTTCAGAATGCTTATAAACGATACATCTATGGAAGATAAAAATATTAAAATGCATAAATTTTATGTTAATTAAGTAAATAAAGATAATAATTAAAATAATATAAATAAAATAATTGAAGAAAACGATAAAATATAAGTTGATAAATAATTCGAATATTTGTTTGAAACAGATGAAGAAGTCGAAATTGTATTTATATATTATTTTAAAAAAAAAAAAAAAATATATGTTATTAGTCAAATTCATAAAATGAATATCAATAAAAATAAAACGAAATTAAAATGGAAAAAATATGTAATTATGTCTATTAAGATTTTTCAAAAACTTTAGAAGATAATGATATTGCTATTATAATTTAAAAAGAAAATAATATTGCGGATTTCTAAAGAGTAAAATTCTATTAAAGATTAGATTAAGAAAGAAAAGATACTTAAATAAACTATTTGAATTAGCAATAATATGATGATGTTTATGATTATAGATAAGATATAGGTAAAAGTATTATTGTTTAAATAATTGATGAAGTAAATATTTAAAATAAAATAAATAGATATAGATTTTTATATATATATATAAATAAATATATATAAATATATATATATATATATATATTTCATTTATAAATAAATATAATATATAAAGAATTTAGATTAGGATGAATAAATTGGTGTAAACATATAAAATTAAGAAAATGATTTTTAAAATTCAGATATGTAAATTGAAGATCTTTTTATAGATAGTATTATTCATTTATTAAAATTACATATATATTTTATTTTTAGATGATGAAATTGAATAAAAAGTTTAATAAACGAATGTAAAAATGAAAGAAGAAATTTAAAAACAATAATAAAATAATTAAATTGATGAAAATTAAGAATCAGAAGAAGAATTTTAATTTTCAATAACTAAAAAATAAAATAATTTATTTTAAGATAATTATTAATATGATAATTAATAATAATAAGATAATTAATTATAATTTTAATCGATTTTAGAATAATAATAATAAAATGATATTATATAAAAAGATTATGATATATCTGAATCTGATTAGTCTTCAGATTCGAAAATATTCACTGACAACGATGATTGAATTTAAATTAAATAATATAAAAATATTAAAATATGAAAATAAAATAATATTTAAAATAATAAATAGTAAAATAGAAATAAATTATAAAAAACTTTTATAAGTTATTTATTAAATTCTTTAATCAATATTTCATTTTATTAATATTATATATATTGACTTTTATTTATCTTAATACCCTTTTTAGCATATTAAAATTTTTATATTTTTTATTTAATTATTTTAATATTCTTTTAATTAAAGTTAATTTAATTTTATAAAAAAAAAATTATAATTATTGCGCAAATTTTTTATTTTTTATTTTTTAAAATAAAAAATTAATTTATTTAAATCATTTTTATTGTATAAATAGTATAAATAATTAATATAAAATTAAATAATTTAATATTAACCATATAATATATATATTTTCTTATATATATATATATATCTTAAATTTTTTATTATTAAATTTATAAAGTACTTAAATTAATACTTTGTTCACTTGCTTTTCTTTAAATACCTTATATATAAAAAAACTCACTAAATAATTAATTCTAAATCAATAATTATATTATTTACATTACTATTTATTTTTAAGTGTTAAACCTTAATATATTTTTTTTTTTCCCATTATATAAAATAAAAAGTGATTAATCATATTTTTCATATTTATAAATTATAATATATTTGTACAAAACAACAATTTCTTCAAGAAGCAATTTTTATTAGTATTTTATAAGAAAAATTCAATTTTTTTATAATTTTAAAATATTTATATATATATTTAAAATTAAATTCCATCTTAGATTTTATTATAAGTTAATAGTTAAACTTTTTCTTCTTAAATTATATTTGTATTCTTCTTATTCTTCATTTAGAAATTTTAAAAAATTCCTTAATTAACTTTTCAATTTTTCGTTTATATTTTTTTATTGTTATTATATTATAGTTCTTTTCAACTTTTCTCTTTAAATCTTAAAGATTTAATTATTTATATATTATTTATAGAATAAGCAAAAATATAATTTATATAATTTTTTATATTGTAACATATATAACCTTCATGTAGATTTGAAGTTATTTTTTTAAATTATATGCATTATATTTATATATTACTTATGTAATTGGTTTACCAAGAAGTATAATCGATTCAATATTTTTTAAATTTAATTTTTTTAATCAATTTATAGTAATTGATAAGAATAAAAACAATTTAAACTTCTTTTTTTAAGAAATAAAGGGAAAAAATATATTATACATATATGTGCTACTACTAAAATAAAAATGATTTAATAAATAAATAAATTGATTTTATTTTAAACAATTAAAGAAATTTCTTTATTTTGTTTTTAGATTGAATATAAACACTTTGTCAAAATATTAAAATATTTACCAAATAAATTAATAAATAATTTTGTCCAGGATTATAAGTTAAAGTAAAACAATTAAAAAAACAAATACTTAAAATAAATGTGCTTATATAAAGATTTTTTTATATTTATTACTATATAATATTTATTAAAATATAAGATTTATTATTATATAAATTAAAAATAAAAGTGTAAAATTATAATTATTATATTAATTAATATAAATATGTAAAAGAAAATAAAAAATTGAAATCATATAAAAGTAATTATATCCCAAAATAATAACAAATATTAGTTTGATAAGTTTTCATTATAATATTATTATGATAATTTTTTTATTTTTTTAAATTATATTAAATAATCTATTATATTTTTTATAATAATAAAAAAAATTATAAATAAATTAATTTCATTATCTTTTTTTTAATTTTCTTTCAATTTTGAAGATTTTTTTATTTAAAAAAAAATTTAAAAGATTTTTTAAAAAGATTCATTTAATATATGTTTCTATTATGTATTAACTATATCTAGAACAAAAATTATAATTACTTTTTACAAAATTATAATTATCATTATTACTTGAAATTTATGAAAATGTTATTAAATATATTTTAATTATAAATAATCTGATTTTTTTTCTAATTTTAATTTTATATATTAATTAATAATAAAAAAATTAGATAAAAAGCTAAAATAATTAAGAATTATAATAATCTATTAATTGATACTATATATATAATTAATTATAATTATATTATATATATAAATATTATTTATTAAATAAATTAATATAAATATAAAGATTTTAATATAAATATTATTAAAAATTATTTATAATAAAATAAAATATTATTTATAAATCAATATATTTAAATTTAATGCCCAAAATGTTTTTTTATTATTTATTTTTTTAAAATTTATCACTTAAAGTTATTATCTTAAAATAAAAACATTATATAATTATAACAATGATATTAGTTAATATAATTATATTAAATATATACAAATAATAAATAAATAAAAAATGAAAAATATATATATAAATATAATTAAAAATAATTAAAATATAAAAAATTATATTTTAGATTTAAAAAACAAAAATAAACAGTAAGTTCTATTAATATAAATGATGCATTTAATAAAATTGTTGATTTAAACAATAAATAATAACTTAATAATGCCATAAAGGATTTATAATATGTAAGTGACAGAATTAAATTAATAGATAAAGTTATAGAAAGAAAAAGATAAATACAAGAAATAAAAGAATTATAAATAATAACAAATATGTCTCCTTTGTTTGATAAAATCAAATTAAAATTAATAAATAAACTAAGTACTAGAAAATAAATTTAAGATTCTCTTAGTTAAAGTTAATAATCAAATTAAAATATTTCAAATAATTATTTAAACTCATCTTAATTATTAGAAAATTAAAATTAGGTAAATATTAATTTTCTTGGAAATTTAAAATTTAATAAAAATCTTAATATAATGAATTAAAAAAAAAAGACAGCTTAATATATTTAAAATCTGAATTTGAAAATATAAAAACAGACAATAAAAAGTTATAATCTAAAAAAAAATATATTACAAACAATATAAATTATAATAAAATGTTCAAAAAGAAAAAAAATTAAATTATAGTTAATAAAAATATACAGAATTTTACAATACATAGGGATAAAATTAATATAAAAAAAATAATCATAATTCTAATCTTAAAATAGAAAGTTATTTGAATTTATTACTTCTTGTGTATGATTTAATTTTTATTATTAAATAAAATATTTATAAAAATAGAAAAGTAAAAACAAAACAAAATAAAAAATTATATATTTTATATATATATATTAAACATATCATAAACAATATAATAAAAATATTAGTTGTGTGGATTTAAAATAAAAATTAAATGATATTTAATTGTTTATAAATAATGTAATATATATAAATTTAATATAGATATAAAAAAAAATTAATATTTTATAAAATAAATAAAATTCAAATAATTATGTTTAATAATGGAATAAATATATATATATATATATATATATATATATATATATATATTATTATTTATTTTTTATATTTTCATTCACTTTTTTCTTATTATTTAACGAAAAGCGCTGTAGTATCTTCTAAATTAAATTTTCCAGGAGTATTTGAATTTTCATATAATTTTAAAAAATAATAATCCTACTGTGCACTACTTAATTCTATATTTGAAGTTTTCATGCATCTTAGAATTTGTTCTTTAGTGCATTTATATGTTTTTTTAACATCTCCTATCATACATAATGTAAATTTCATTAATTCACCATGTTTTATTAATATCTTTTGTATAAAAAATAAAAATTATAAGACAAATATTATTTAATATATATTTAGTTTGTACTTCAGTAATCTATTTATTGATTTCAATTTCTTTTTCAGGTGTAAATAATTTAAGTCTTCCTATTGCAAATTTGATTCTACTTCTCACAATCACATTACTTGCATCCATATTTTTTTTAAATTTAATTTCATCTTGAGTATTATCTTCAATTAAATATCTAGATAATTATATAGATTAGTTATCAGAAAGATTAAAAGGATCACTTAAATAAAATATTGTTAATTAATAAAATAAAAAAAATTATATAAAAAACTTATATATGTATTTATATTGTATATAATTAATTTATATAAATATATATATATATATATAAATATATATATTTATATATATTTTTATATATTTATTTATATTTTTAGGTATAATTTATAATCATTTCTGTAATATTTTTTGTTATTTAATATAAAGATTTTACGCTTATAAGACATTTATAATTTCTTAAATTGAAATTGTTCCTCTTTTTTTCACTTATTCTGTAAAGAAATACTATTATATATTTATTAAAATAATATATTCGTATGTTGAAAAATAATATTTTATTAAAAAAAATGAAAATATATATTTATATATATATATATAAAATTTGCCTAATCTAAAATTTAATCTAAATTAACTTTCTTCAATGATAAAAAATTATTTATTTCTGATGTAATACCTTAAATTTAGTCTGTAGTAATTGCCTTAACATTTATATAAGATTTTTTTTTAGCATTTTAATATTCATATATTTCTTTTTCTCTAGCTAGTTCTTAATAGGTTTTAATGTATTTATAATTTCCTGTTTTTTTAAATTCATTAGATAATTCAATATCATTTAATGAAGAAACATATTATTCATTATTACAATTTTAATTTAATTATTCTTATTAATTTGAAATTTCTTAATTAAAGCTTCCTTATTATTAGTTTTCTTCGTTCATATTTTTTTTTTGTTAATATAAATTAAATAAAATAATTTTATTGGTTTAATATAATTTTATTTCCACAAATAATCTTATAATAAAAAGTTAATTTTATTATTAAATAAAAATTAAATAGTTGAATAAAAAAAATATAGTATATGATTATAATAATTATTATAAAATTTAAAATTTAATTTATTATCATAAGTTTTTTTTTTTTTAATTTAAAAATAATTTTTATTTTTTTATATATTTTAATTAAGTATTTAAATAAAAAAAAGGAAAAAGAAAATTATTTTAAATAAAATTTATAATATAATATCTAAATACTAGATTTTTTATATATTTATTTTATTTTTATAATATACAAATTAATATAATCAAATATATAAAAATGAGTATCAATAGAAATGCAGATAAAAAACGCACAATTGCTTAATAACCTAGAGCAATTATAAAAAAATTAGATAAATCTTAAAAACTTACAGATGAAATGGAAAATGATATAAAAGATGCATTTTAATTTTTTGATACTGATAAAACTGGTTAAATTAATAGAGCATAATTGCGTTCAATATTAGGGAATTTCGCATTTACTAATATGACCATAAAAGAAATAGAAGAAGAATTAAGAAATGAATATTCCGTATCTAAAAATAATTTTTATTTAGAAGAGGTTATTTAAATTATTATCAAAAAATGGTTTTTATATGGAGGTAGGGATAATGAAGCAAATGAAATATTTAAATTGTTTGATAAAAGGTAATTAATAATAATAATAATAATAAAAAAAATATAATATAAATATAATTACTTATTCTTAGTTTACTTTTTTTAAAATTAAAAAAAAATTGATTACTCGGAATTTTTTTTAAATACTTTTAATAAAATAAATTAAAAATACAATGTTATTGTTATTTTTTTAATAATTGTTTATATTTAATTTAAAATAGAAACAAAAACATAATTGGATTGCCTGATATAAAATATTTATTTTCATAATATTTAGATATAAATGTTAATGATTCTGATATTATCGAATTTATATAAGAAGCTGATTTAGATTAAGATGGTGTATTAGATAAAAATGAATTTTGCTCAAAGTAATTAAAATAAAAAAAAATATTTAATCTTAAATTTTAATTATATAAAGACTTGGTTATTTTTGAAAAAAACAAAAAAAACTTAATTTTGATATAATAGCAAATTTTTTATAGATATATATAAAAAATACATATAAATGTATTTATATTTAATTTAAAAACTTTTTTATTTTATTTATCGTTAATTATAATTATTTTAACAATCTACTTAAATAATGTAACTTTTAATTATTATTTTTTTTATATATAAATAATATTAATATTATAAAAACAAAATATTTTTAATTTTTTTTGCTATTTTGTAAATATTAATTTATAAAAAATAAATAAATAAAAAATGTCAGAAGAAGATAATTGTCATTTGATAAATATTCTTAAAAATAATAAATCAAAAGATGGAACATCCCTTTACACAATAATAAATTAAACATTCAATAAAATATTAAATGAAAACGAAGAATACACATAAACATTAGATTTTTATGAATAACTTTAAGATTTTATAAAATAAAATAACTTTGTTTACTCAAAAAGACCAATAGATATATCATTAAATGAAAATGATAAAAAGCCATCAAAAATTTTTAAATGGATTTAATACTGTGAAAAATTAATAAAAGTAACAATAATTAATTTCTATTGTAAAAAATATAAAAAAATAAATAGAATTAAAATATTCATCAATAAATTTTATTCCCTGATTTTTATAATGAAAACGCAATGCTTGAAATAGCAGGAATAAACTTTTCAGAAGAAGAATCATAAATAATTTAAATGTCAATAAGAAGACTCGCAGATTAAAAATAGGCTTCCCAAATAAGATTTTGGGGCAAGATTTTATGTCAATAATAAGATTATTATATTGCTGAAGGTATTACTGCAAATGAAAATGCAGATACTTTACCAAAAGATTGCGAAAAAAAAGGGGAAGGCGCTAACATGTATACATTTTGGGTTACTAATAACCGTAATAATTTATAAAGAAATATAAATACATTTATTTATTATAAATATATTAATTTATAATTTATTAAAATAAGCATTAAAATAATGGGTTGAATTACCTTTAGTTACTCCATAATAAATATAATAAGTAAGATAAATAAAGTATGTATTTACAGGAAATTTAAATAATGAAATTAAAAATTTCCCTCCTTTTTAAGGATAAGAAGCGCATTTTGTAAAATAATTATTTTTTATTTTTTTAAATAAAAAGAAAAAAGTTGAAAGCATAAATTGTAAGAATTTCTTCATCATGTATTTTAGTACCAAAAGGAGTATATGAAGTTAATAGTGAAACTAATAAAATACAATTTCCAGAAGAGCTTTTTAAATATCCAGAATATACTAGTTTAAAAGATTTATCATAATGGTGTCATTTACATTCTTTTTTAAATACTTAAGGAAGAACTACATATTATATTGATCCTGATTTTGATGAAGAATAAAAATTAAAAGCTGAAGAAGAATCAGGAAAAGAAGAAAATAATGCAGATAAATTAAAAGAAATAGCAGAAGAAAAAAGTATTAATATATAAATATAATACATAATTAAATTATTTAATTAATAAAATAAATATAAATTATAATAAAATCAAATATTTTAATAAATAAGCGCCTTATGTAAAAGAGTTAGAAAATGAAGAAACATAAAGCAATTGGTATATGAGAGAATATGGAGATTTGTAATAATTTACTTCTGAAGATTAAACTTCAAATTATGGAGTTACAGTTTTAAGAAATAAAACTTGGTAAGGACATTATACTGTTTTTAATGTAATTTTTATTTTTAATATTAATTATTTTTTTAAATTAACTTAATAATCAAAAAAAAGAATGAAAGATGGTGTAATATATATATTGGATATGGTTTAAAAACTAACTAAAATCCTTTTGTTCCAACATAACCTGATGATTTGTGTGCAGAAGTTGAAGATACAGATGAGTTTTCAGAAGTAAAAAATTATATAAATTTATTTGTATTAAAAATTAATAATTCAATTAAAAGCCTAACCATAAAGATCCACCACCTAAAGAAGATGCTCCTTAAGATGACGAAAATAAAGAATATTAAGATTAAGATTAAAATTAAGATTAAGATTAAGAATGACTTTTTTAAAAAAAATTAAATAAAGATATTATTTTTATAAAAACAAAAATATAAATAAAATTTTTATAAAAATTATGAATTTATTTTTATTTATATTTAATGATATAAATAGAAATTTATTAATATATCTATAATTTTTAAATATATAATAAAAATAATAATTAAGATAAAATATATAAATTTAAAATATTTTAAAATAAAAAAAATATTATTAATTTAAATAGAAAAATAAATTAAATAAAAATTTAATATAAATAATATAGAACTATTTTTAAACATATATCATTAAATAATGTTTATAAATATATATATAAATTATTAAAAATAGTGTTAATAATAAATTATTTAAATTATATTATTTATTTAGATATTTTTTATTTATTAATTAAAAAATAAATGTTTTAATTTTGATATTTTATTTTTCTTATTATTTAATAAATAAAATATTAATTGATTTTTTTATTTTATGTATTTTGTAAAAATTTATAGATATATTATTATTTTTTATATAATATTTTATATAAATGCAATAATTTAATTAGCGTTATTTTATTATTTTCTAAATATTTATTATTTTATATTAAAATAATATAATTAAAAAAAAATATGAAATAAAGAATTAACAAAAACTTTACTATACATTTTAAGTTTTAAACATTTCTAAATATTTAATTTATATTAATAATAAATATATGAAATTATTATATTAAATATAATGTATTTTTTTTTTTTATCAAATAAAATAAAATGAATAATATTTATTTAAATTTATAATTTATATTTTATTTTTTGAAAAAGCTGACTTATTTAACAGAATAAAAAATAAATAATACTAAAACATTATATGATAAATTTGTTTTAAATAAAATATCTAGATCATATATTTAAATAATTTTAAATAAATAAAAATGAATAATATAAAAAACTTTATTTTCTTAATACTCAAATTTTAATACATATATTCATAAATATAATAAAAAGTACCAAGCATAGGTTATCACATATCAAATCGTAAAATATGCACATTAGATTAAAAGACATTGACATAACAAATTAAACTATACCCAATAAACTTTGCACTTTATAAAATACCCGTACTGAATATAAATATTATTGCGGCTCTGATAATGAATACTATGCTGTAATTTAAGGCAGATCATGTTCGGAATTTTTCGCTCCAAGAAAAACGCCATAGAAGCCTTTAATAAGTCCTTCATTATTAAAAGACTAAACATATGCCTGTTTATGTTCTGAAGTTACCGTGAAATGCACAAAAAAAGACAATTGCTACGATTATTGCCCTTAGGATTTAAAATTCGAGAAATATATCATAAACAATACGCCATAAGATTATCTTTACCCGAAAGAAGACGGTTATTTCGAAATTACATAAACTTATTGTAATTGCGGTGGAAGAATTTCCTAAGTAACAGGTGGTAGTTAACTTTAAAAATGCTGCCTTAATAATATTTTTGAGAAAAAACTTTCTTATTGTTATTGCAGCAATGATAATATTATAGAAGTTTATACAAATACCAATTGTTATAAAGAATGTCCTTTTAATGAAAATCCTTCAATGGATCTGCTTAAGTTAAAAAAGATGAAAATTGTTTCATTTATTGTTTTTCAGATTTCTCGCTTTCTTAGTTTGTAGAAAACAAAGGATATATAGGAAGCAATTATAATGGAGAATTTAAATATTTCTGCTATTGTTAAAATAAATATTATTATGAAATAAATTAAAATACTAGATGCTCTGTTGTATGTAATTTTCATTCTTCTTTTCCCGAATATTCTACTACAAAAGCCATACCTGCTGATAGAGTATATTAATACCAAATTTATATAAAAGATTCCCCTTAATTAGGTTATATAGAATATATATATAATTATTGTCTTTGCGACGGAAAAATAATATCTGTAGACCCTATTTTGGGTGAATTACCTAAATGCTGTACTTCAGGTATTTAGAAAGAAACTTAATACTATTGTAATTGTGGAGGAAACTAATAAAAAGTCGAAAAAGGAACATCATGTCTTCAAAATTGTCCCAAAGACTAACCTGCAGCTCAAGTTTTTGTCAAACCGATATAAAATGTGTAATTTTCAAATGTTTATGTCAAGGAATATTAAAATAAGTTAAAGAAACTACAAATTGCTATGATTTATGTAAAGAATCATAATAATATGAAACAATTTAAATTACTGAAAATATAGGATATCATTAATAAAATAAACTTTTCTGTAAATGCGAAGATGGAAGTATACATGATATTACAGGATATATTATTATGCCTGAATGTTGCACTGATCAAACCACATATTAAGAGAATACTTATTTCTGTAATTGTTCGGAAAAATATTTAATTGTTAATCAAAATTAAAGCTGTCTAAACTCATGTCCAATAACATTACCACCTTAAAAACCCCTGAAGAAGGTTTCTAAGGCGATTATATTTGTAGATGTCATGATATGTTAATTTCTGGGAAAACTTAATATTATAACTGTTACGATGAATGTCCTTATTCTTTAATTATAGCCTAAATATTCAATTTAGGCTATCATGAAGAATAGAGAACGTATTGTTGTGCGGAACAGTTAAATAAGAAATTTTGGGTTTTAGGTAAATACCCGCCTGTTGTACATCATAAACATTTGACGAATATACTTATTTTTGTAATTGCTCTAGTAATTTTTATTAAGTCTAATAAAATAGATATTGTATAAGTTTTTGTCCAACTTCTTAGCCTGCTAAACATCCTTATGTGGCACCTGAATATGATCTTTATGGTAATGATTATACTTGCACATGTGGCGACGTAATGAGGAGTGTATCTTAGAATACTAACTGCTATGATCTATGTTCTAAAAGTTTAGTATTTACTCCCTAAATTTTGGATGAAGAAAATCCTACTGTAGAAAACACAAATATCGGATATCATGTTTAAATAAAAAACTACTGTATTCTAAATAGTGGGGAGAAATAAGATGTTACCGAATATATGATTTTAGCCCCTGAATGTGAAGGCAAAGTATTTTCGGAAACAACATGATTTTTCCTGCTAAAAAAGGCTAAAATTGTTATGATTCATGTCCCATTAGACTAGTTGTGAATAATCCTTAAAATCTAGGCTATCATAATTAGGTTAAAATCTATTGTATGTGTGGATCAGAAAAATAGGACATGAAAAACTTTATGATACTTGTACCGATATTGTCTTTATAATAAATTAAAGCATAACAGCTGAAAACGAACCCTTTACAGATAAAGTTGTTTTAACTAAAAAATGCCATAAAACATGTAAAGAATGTCAAAAAAATTCAAGTATTTGCATTTCTTGTAAAAACCCAAACGGTGAGATTTTAAATGGAAGATTTTGTGCATGCAAATAAAATTTTTATCAAGACTAAAATTCTAATGATTTAAAATGTTTAGCTGAAATAACTGGAGAATAACCTATAAATAAATGCGATTGGGAACTGTATAATTACATAATATAAGTAGTTGTAGTTTCCAATTGTAATTTATAAATTGTAAATGAAGTAAATTATATATAATCTTTAATATCTTTTGATTGAAGGAGATCTTAAGTATCCGAAGAATGTCAAAAACAATTCAAATCGAATTTATTGATTAAATATAAAGAAGAAAATGATAAATATGTAAATTTTGATTAAAAAATACTATACATAAAATTCATTTTTTGAATATTTGATAAATATAAGACTTATAGACGTATAAAATATTGCAGCAATTAATAGAATTGAAAATGATAAACTTTACCAAGTAATTTGTTTTGCTGTAGAACTCGGGCATTCTAGAAAAGTACTTAGATTACATAGATTCTGTATTACAGTGTATACAAATAGAAAAAGTGTAAACATTTTCGTTATTGATGTTAATAAATAAATTACTGATTTATGTGAACCAGGATAAAAATGTGTAATAATAGTTGATTTAGATACTGATAAGAAAATGTGTTCCGATAAAACTTGTGTTAAAGTTTAATAGGGTAGTTCTTATACTGTAGGCGATTTCATGTATGTTAATATATGGCTTAAAGATAATAGTTATACTAAATATTTTGATCTTGTAAAAGTTGTTTTTAGTGATGATTCTGCAGTATTTGATTTTACTTAAATTACCTAAGTTATATCTTAAACTTACGGTAATATTATTTTAGCAATAGAATTAACTGAACCCTCGATAAAAGCCACTTTTTAAGTTACTTTAAATATTAGAGAAAATGCTAATATATTAAGAAGATTAAATGGTATAAATGCAAAAGAAAATAAAGTTGTTTAAAACTTCGATGTTTAAATTATGAGTGTTAAATAGAATAGTAAAAATAATAGTTTAGCTAATAATAACTAATAAATTTAAAGTTCATTTGGAAATATTTTGATGTTGATTTTTGGGTTGGTTATCACTTTTTTAATTTAATGAATTTTTTTTTTATATATATTTAATTAATATTATTATTTTTATTTTTTTCTCTTTTTTATAAATTTTATTTTATTATAGTAAAGTTAATAATATTCAAAAAAGTAAAAAACATATAAAACAAAAAATACATAAGATTGATTATATTTTAAATAAAAAATAAAAAAATTAAAACTATTTTATTTATATGCAAAATAAATTATAATAAATTACAAAAAAGAAAATAATAAAAATTAATTTTATTAAAATATAAATAAAAATATTAATAAAGAAAATAAATTTTATAAAAAAATAATATAAATTAATAAATAAAAAGGATAAATAAATGAAATATAATCTTCCTAATACAGTTCCACTTCTTCCAGGCCACTGTTTTAACGAAACTTAAAAAGAAAAGCATAATAAAATTTAACAATTTACATTAGTAAACGGAGTTTAATGTGAAAAGACAAATTACATATCGGAATAAGACGATCCTAATTTATTAGATTCATTAAAAATGGGTACTCCTCTGTCGCATACATATGGAACAAGTAAAATAAAAAAAATATTAATAATAATAAAAATTAAATATATAAATATAAAAATATAGAAAAATAAGTAATAAATGATTATGTACCCCGGATATAGCCTCCATGGTTAAAATATGATAGATAAGTATTAAGATTTTACAGCTATTTTTAAGAAAGTGTAGTCGAGGATCCCAAAGAGAACTATCGTATTCGAAAATGTGTAATTTATTACTATTTATCTGATGGAACAATACATGTGAATGAACCAAAAACTGAAAATTCTGGAATCACATAAGGAGTTTTTATCAAAAGATAAAAAGTTCCTAAATAACTTGGTTCGAATGAATATTATACATGGGAAGATCTTAATTTGGCATAAAATATTAACCTTTTTGAAAGAGTCTTTAGAATTATAGATTGTGATTCTTTCACAAGAGAATATTACGCTTATATGGGTTCAAAAATGAATTAACCAGAAAGAATTCCAGTTGATAATTTCGAAGCTTATAAATAAATTAAAGATATTAAAATTCCTCCTCCAGATGCAAAAGAATATAAAGAATATAATGATGTTAAGTTAGGAGGTGGACATCCTAATACAGGTTTATAAAAATATTTAGAAAATGATAGAAAAGTATAAATTTAAATAATTTAATTGTAATGCTTATAAAAATAAATTATAGGTATTATCCTTTAAATTACTTTGGAATGACACAAGTCTTGAAGGAGGATTGAATTTGTTTACATTAAATTTCTTTTTAGCAGATGATACAGTAGAAATCAAGGAAGTTAGAAAATCTAATAATGGAAAAGATCCATATAATTTATTTTTAAATCGTAAAAAATTACCTAAAGTAAAAAAAATAGAAATAAAATTAATTATAATTTATGATTTATAAATATAAAATAAAATATATATATTAAATGAAAAAAATAACAAGTTTTTATAAATATAATTATATATATAATATATATTTATATATTTATATATTTATATATTTATTATAAAAAGTAACCAATTAATACTCATTATCCCGGTATGACTTTAAAAAAAGAAGAATATTTTACTCCATCAGATTTATTATGTGGATAATTGATTAAAATATTTTCTAAAGATTGTTTAATATATGATTGTGATCCATATACAAAAGAATGGTATTTACATAATTTGAGCATATAATAAATTCCGGCATCTTTACCAAAAGGTGAAGTTAGAAAAACATATTAACCAGTGCCTCCTTATAATGGATATGGGACAGAGGAAGATTCCTTAGGAAGTGTATATTATTTAGTCCCAAAGGCCCCTAAAAAAGATATTAACAAAATGTATACATAAGATTAATATATTTTACGTTTTGAATCGAGATTAATTTCCTAATGTAAAGATGATAATTAGAGAAAATTCATCATCTCATTTTATTGCGGAGATGACACTATTATGGTTTATGAAGATGCTGATAAAAACTCTGGAATTTGGGGAGGGAAATTTTTAGAAAGAATGATCCATTATAATCCTATTACTGGTAAATAATATCAAGAAATAGATTTTTAAATTGGAGAATTAGTATAATTAGGAGGTTATAAATTCTAACTTTTGAGAGCAGATGAATATACAGTCAAATATATGAAGTCAAAACCCGAAGTTTTTAAAGAATCTGATATTTAGTAAGTTGTTAATAGATTAAGATAGTTCTCATAGAAATTCAAGAGCTATGAGGACTTTTTGATTTAGTTTGTTAAAAATATAGATTAAGATGCTCAAGGATAAGTTGATTTTAATTAAGTTGTTAGGGGTCTGTAGAAATTAGGGTTTAATTTAACTTATTAGGAAATATATACTTTAATTAGACATTACAGTATTGGAGATAATTTCAAACTATCTATGAAGGATTTATTTGTGGGATTAGGAGGAAAATAAAATATAGAAACTAAATGATTTATAATATATTTTTATTTAATTTTCATTATTAATTATAATATTTTTTTCTTTATTTTTATATATATACTAATTGCAATAATATATAAAAATATATTATTTGATAAATATTTTTTAATATATTTATTAATATTTTTATAAATAATTTTATTTTATATATTTTCTTCTTTTATAAAATATAATTATATTTTATTTTTTATATTAATTTTTTATATTTAAAATAATCTAATGTATATTTTTCAAATTAATTATTTTTTTCTATTTTTTGAGATCAGAAGTTTTTTTAAAATGTTTTTTTATTAGGAGATGCTGATTTATATTTTAATCCTTTCGATTTAATAACTCTTCTTATATTCAAGCATTTGCTTTTTTTAACTAATTTATTGATTATATTATATTAATTAAGTTTTTTAATATAATTTATATATATATATAAATAAAAATTATAAAGAAATAATAAGATTTCTTTTATAAATTTTTTTGTGATTTATTTTATAAAATCAGATAATCTTTCAGGCTTCGTATCCAAATTAATTGGCAATTATTTAAGAATTTCTTAAAAATAAATATATCTAATTTTATCCTGAAGTTTTTTAATATATTTTTCTCAATTAGGTTTTTCATTTATTTTATTATAATAATATCCCAAAAAAATTAATATTTAAGAAAACATGTTATTTTTTAAAAAGAATTTATTATAAATTCAACATATTTAAATATTTTAGATTTGCTTTAAAATTTTTAAAAAGCTTAGTTTTTTTATACCTATTTTGTTAAAAATAGAAAATCTGTAAAAAAATTAAAAACCAAACATTAATTAAATTAAATTTAATCTAATAGGATAAATCTAATTATATATCTAAACTGAAAAAATTTTAAGGTTTCTACAATTTTAATATTTAATTTTTTTATTTAATTTAATTTTGTTTTATAAGAAATGTCTAAAAAAATTATTTTAATCAAATAATATATAATGAAAAAATTTTACATTTTATATTTTTTATTTTAATAATACATATTTTAATTCTTTTTTAAAAATTAATTATGCATTTTTATTTTATTTCGTTGATTTATTATTTTAAAAATGCTATTTTGCTCATAAAATATAAGTCCCATTTATATTTATTTGATTTGACAATGCAATAGCATATAATCTATTTCTAAAAAATTAATTATTTTCGTTTTCTTATTTATGGTTTAAATAATTGTAAATAATAATTTATAAAGCATTCATAAATAATAATGAATAGTTAAATAAAATAGTAAAATAGTAAAATACAAAATATAAAAAAAAACACAAAAATATCTAATAATATGTTATGTAATAAGATAATTTTTTGAATATTATTTTTATTAATTTATATATTTTTTTTAATATATAAGAAAATTTAAAAAATTATATTATTTTACTTTTAAATTATAAAAATAATTAATAATAAATATGTAAAAATAAGTAATTAAATATCATTAAATTTATATTCTATTTTTTCCTATTAATATTTTACAAAAAATATGTTGAGATTATATTTAAATTGATTTTTTTTATTTTATACAGAAAATATTTAAAGAATTAAAAATTAAAACAATAAATAAATATTTATACATGAAACATTATAATATTTATTATATCATTAGCTTCAAATTACTAATTATTCATTTTCTATTCTAAAACCATTTTTTCTCAAAGACATTACGATTAAATATTCATATTCTTAAAGACTTATTGTCCTTTGTTTATCTAAATCTGCCATTTTAATAAATTCTTCGATTTCCTAATTAGTAGGTGTAACATTCTTCATATCTATTTATTCATAAGTTTTTTTAATTAAATTTCCTATTTCTTATTTATTTAAAAAGCCATTTTAATCGAAATCAAACTGTTTAAAAATTTTTCTCGCCTTTTTTTAATAAAATTAAATAAAAATTAAAATAAAAAATTTAAATTTTACCACATTAAGCCTTGCTTCAATTTCCTTTGTATATTATTTTGGTTAATTATCATTAATTTTAATATTTTATTATTAATACCCTAAACCACATAAATATTAAACACAAACATTTTCTAAATCCTACAATGTAACTTATCCGTCATTATTTCTATCAAGAACTTAAAAATATCCTTTTGCATCATCATTAGTTTAAGGCTATTTTTATTAAAAAGGAGTATAAGCTTCTCCCATCATTTAAAAACAATCTCTTATATCTAATCTACCTTTTTTTCCTTAATCGAAGTATTCAAAAATATTTTTTGCAACTGCTTTTGCATTCTTTAATGTTAATTATTTATTGATATATTTTTAGAATGTTTGTTATTTTTTTAATTTACATCGACTGAATATAAATTTTTTAGTTAAGATCCTAAATTTGGAACAGATTATAAAATAGGAGATGTAAAATTCATATTCATATTTTATATTATTTATTATTTGAATTTTTAAGTAATTATTTTGTTTTTTTAAGCAATTATATTTATTTTTTAAATCCTTTTTTTATATAATAATTAATAATTAATAATATTAATACCTTTTTTTTTATTAATTTTTTAATATAATGTATTTATAATTAATTATAAAGGTATTTTCTATACATATAATATAAATTATAATAAAAATTATATTTTACTAAATATATTTAATTAAATAATAAATATAAAATGTATTTTATAATATATTTTAATATTATTTTTTAGTTTAATAAAAAATAAAAATATCCTTAAAAAAAACAATAAAGAGTAAAAAAAAAATGAATATTAATTTTTATTTTAAATATAAACAATATATATATTTATCTTTATTATTAATATTATCATTTATAATAATTAAATTCAGTTTTTATAGTCTTTTTTAAATTATAGAAGTTATTAGTCATTTAATTATAACATATAAAGCTTTCATTAATAATATCTTTGCCATTTTTCTGAGCTTTTTCAAGGCATACATTTAATTCAAGATTTAAGTTATCTAATTAATTTTTAACAAAAATATCTGCTTAAACGATTCCTTCATTACATTTACTCATACATTCTTTAATTTCTGGTTATTTCGTAAAAATATCTGAATAACAATTATTATATATACACTTATTTATTTTATAATCAAACAAATTATATTCTCTAGTTAAAAATCTACTAAAGTCTTAGATTTTTTTTTAATATTCTCTCATTATATCTGCTGCAATAACTTTTTCAGTTTATGTTAAAATAGAATATTTTTCATCATTTAATATACTATCAGTTTAACTTTCAACATTTTTTATAACAAAATTAAAATTAGAATGTACTGAACTAAATTCTTTATCCCTTTAAATTTATTCTGAATCTTATTTATGTGACATTTTTTGATATTATAATGATTTGAAATATTTTTTAAAATATTTAATTAATAAATTTTTAATAAATATCTTAAAATAATAATTCTTTTAATTTTGTTAAATAATATTTTATTTATTTATTATTTAAATAATAAATTAAAATAAAAACAAAAATTTAAAATTATCAAAAAAATAAAAGATTTTAATAAATATAAGATATAAAATTTCTATTGAATTATTTTTTTTTAATTAAAAAATAAAATACTTAAAAATAAAACATATTTTTATATTTAAAAAAACAAAAACATATATTTTATAATTAATTATTATTTTTAATTTTTTTTTATAATTATAAATATAATTAATAATATATAATTGTAAATAAAAATATATAATAAAATGTAATACGAACCACTAGACATAGAATCATTAACATAAATAAAAGTTATAGCAAATTAAAATGCTAACAAAAGTTAAAATAATGAAAATATACAATAATAATAAAAATAAATCCCGTAATTAGTATTTATAAATTCAATATCGTTCCAAGCAATTGAACCCGAGTAATCATTAATTGAATACTTTATTATGTTAGCTGGATGTGTAATTGGTTTTTATTTGTTTTTAAATTTAATGTCTGTGGTGAATATAAAGAATTGTTGGGAACTTTGTTTTAAAATAAGTGCTTTAAACAGTCTTATATTTTTTACGATACCGCCTATGTGTTTATGTTCAACAGGTTTTAAAAATAATAAAAAATTGGCAAGTTTTGTAAAAAAATGTTTTTTTTGTATAAGTTTAATTAATATTTTTTGCTTTATATATATATTTAATATTTCCGAATATGATTTCGAATCATATACATTAGGAGTATAATGTATGGAAAAAGGGAATATGATAGTTTTTAATACATTGAATATAATTATATGTTTGATTTTGCTTACTATTGATGGTTTATGTTTATTTGTTTTACTTAAAGATTTAGAAATTAATATTGAAAAAAGAGATTGTGCAATGAGAAAAAAAATGGTTTTATTACCACATAAAATTATGAATGTTAATTTTCCGTTGTTTTATGATTAAATGAGGTTTTTTTATTTATGAAAGTTTTCAAAATTGTTGTTATATATATATATATATATATATATATGTTTATATAAAAATAAAATAATATATAAAATTTTTCTATATATAGTTTATATTTAATTTTCCATATATCTTCTTCATAAATGAACAATTTAATTATAAATTACAGGCATAAAATCCATATTATCCGAAGGATCATCACCAGTAATAACATAAAAAATATCATAAGGATTTCCTTATTTTAAATTTGTAATATTAAAGCTGATTGGTTTATCGGTTATTTAACTATAAAAAGATACATAATTAGAAAGTGCATTTTAATCCAAAAAATTTTTATTTTATCTAATCTAAACATAATTCGGAATCTAAAGACCCGGATTATCAGTCATAATCCAAACAAAGCCATTAATTGTGAGTTTAATATCTTATAAAGAAACCCAATTTTATCCCATGGAAATTAAAACGGTCTAATCTTATTATAGATCGGGTTAAACACTAACTTTAATATCATTAACAGCATAATAATCAAAAAGCTTAGTATTTTATTATCTTCCTTCAATCTATTTATTATACCAATCAATTAAAATAGCCTTATTATTAATAAGTTAAGTATAAATATTATCATTATAATTATCATAAATAACATTTTTATTAAATGAAATATAAAGTGTCATATATTAATTATTCGGATTTTCAGAAGCCTAAATTTAAACACTTCTAGACTTATCTTTAATATTTGGATAAGTTACAGGGGAGTCACATTTAATGCCTGTCGTACTAGTTAAATACTAAATATTAATTGAAAAATAAGACGAGATTTTACAAGTAAACTATATCTACTATTCAATCAAAATCTCATCCTAAAACCTAAAAATCACTTTAATTAATTTTCCATTATTATTTGTTGTTGTAAAAGAACCAGATTATTCTCCTAAATAATTACCATTTATCGATATAGGGAATATTTTTAAATAATAAACCTTATTTTAATATAGGTTTTCTAATAAATAATCCTAAGCACCTATTTCAGTTTAGTATTAGAAAACACTAGATATTGTTTCTATTTAGTTTAAATAGTTTATTTAAGTTTTTAGTCCTCTTTAGATATTGTCTATGGCTTATTTTACACTTACTGTTGTAAAATAAGTATAATTTATAGTTAATACATAATACAAAGTTAATGATTAATATGAATATAAAGAAAACATTTATGAAATAGGGGATAAAGTAGATTAATTAATGATAATTTAAATCTCGTCTTCTAAATTATAAATATTATCATTATTTTCATTTTTTAATACTTTATTAATTATTTCAAATGTAAGAAAACTGTATTGAAGTTGAAACGATTCAGCGTTTTTTCCTTCCAAAAAAATATGCATTTTTCCCAAAGAACCTACTTAGGATGAGTTTTCGTCACTTTTAAGAATCAAATATGATGAAATATTATTTTAATTAAAAGTCATTTATTATCCTTTATCTATACTAACTCCATTTTCAGGTAATTCAATAAGTTCATATTTAAGTCTTATTTCTTATAAAGGAGTATATTTATCTAATTCAATTATTAAAGGTAAAGAAAATCCTCCTTAAGGAATTTTAAAATGATTAAAAGGAAATTTTATTAAATTTTCTTAATTATTTAAATTATCAGAATTAGTGATTTGCACGTAAATAGGAGGAACATCTCTAATAATTTAATCTGAAGATCCTTAACTAAACTAACTAATATATAAAATATAATTTCCTGTCTATAGTTCATCAACAACTTAAAGTTTAAACTTAACTTGATTATCCCCTATATTAAGTATAGGTTTTTCTGGAATCAACTAAATGATATTTTTCGTAAATTTGTTGGAAAACTCAACCTAATATTTTGATCTTTCCCTAGTATTAATACATATAGTAATGAAATCGGAAACTAGTCCATATTTAAGTTAAATATTTTGCTTAGAAGATATAAATTAAGTCGATAATTAATTTTCTTATAAAGAAATAGGAGGACTGGCCGATTATTTTTTTCCCGATATAAAAATAAGGTTCTTTTAAGGAGGAAGGGAATCATTATTATCAAAAACGAGAATATTTATTTTCTCCTAATTACATTAAGTAGGCTAAGTCGGATTTTTAATATTTTCTATTGATAAAGTGTATATTTAGAATGCCATGAATTAAAATTTTTATTAAGTATCTTATTTTACAGTTATTCGGTTTGATTGAGATTAACATTGACATGGAATTATCCTTTCTGCGTTTTTTTGGGTAATAAAGCATGATTCAGGTTTAAATGTATTGAATATTGTAGCAAATGAAATGGGAAATTCTAGGATAAAAAATACCTTTTCGGGAGTATTTTCAGGAAAAGTAAATGTTAGATTATAAAAATCGCTTTAAGTGAATGTTTAATTATTTGAACTTATCATATTGTAAAATCTCATTACTTTAGGACTTTGATTAATTTCTAATTCTTCGTCTTTTACAATTATATATTACAGAAGTTCTTCTTTTTTATAAAATAAAAGCTCGATTTCATCTAAGGATAATTCAGGAGAATTCCTTTTTTTTATAGGTTCTTCGATTCCTATGATATTAATTTAAGATGTTTATTTTATTTCTTAAGCTAAGGAGTGTATTTTGATTGCATTATTAGATACTAATTCACAAGAAACCAGTATTTAATCTTAAAGGCAAGTTAATACATTCCCAAGTCCTCTTTAATATCTGTTTGGAAAAGTTATTATTATATAAGTATTTTTTGGTAAAATATAATCTTTTTATTTTTAATCAATAGCAAATATATAGGAAGAAGGAACTCCAGGATAAGAGTAACTTTTTTTCAATTTAATATCGAGATTTTATATTATTTTTTTATTTTCGTTTAAAAATGACAAATTCACATTTATTTTAGAAAGCACGTTTTAATATTCTAATACAATATTATTTTCATCCTATTAACTTTCATTTGATTATTCCATTAAAGTGCATTTAATATTTTTTGATAAATCTATACTTGTATAAACTTAACTTTATCTAAAATCACTCAAATATATTTTATATGTATAAACAAACAATTATTCGTATTAATTTATTTATTTTTTTCTAAAAAGGAAAACTTTCTAAGATTCTATATAGCATTTTTAAATAAAACTATGGTCTCCTTTTTAATTTTAGATTAAACAATTATTTATAATAGCCTCAGGTTTTAAAAAAAAAGATAAATCACAAAATAAATACTCGTAATAAATCCAATCTTTTAATAAAAAATCTAATTCAAAATACAAAGAAAAAGAATTCGTATGAGATTAATTTATATTTATTTATTTTATTTGTATTTATGATTAATTATCTTAGAATGATTTTTAATTTTAATAAATTAATTTCCTTCCACGATCTGAATTGGAAATCAAAATATTATTTTAAGTTAATAATTTTAAAGAAACTAACTATTCGATATCATTTTAATCATCCAAAATTTAATATGCACTAATTGAAATTATTGAAATTTTATGTTTCCCTTCTTAAATTGTTTAATAATTTTGAAAATCACACTATATAATATTATTTTCGATAACTAAAAATGAATTTATTTACAAATTATCATCCAAAAAACACCCGTTTTCAATTGTTTATTTAAAAAACTTAAAATTATCATCAGAATATACCTTTAAAGTAAAAAAAGAAGAAAGTTAATGTTAAATCTAAATATAAAAATCTAATTAAAGGCCTTTACTTCCTGCAATAATAATATTTGGTTATATTTATTCGAATATAAAGGAACTTCCCTTTACCCTATTTTTACTTTCTATATAATTAAAATGCACTAAATTACCTTTATCATCACTTATACTAAGACTTGTTCTTGGTAAAGTTACACCATATACATAAGGGATGGTGACATAACTTATTTACAAGTAACTATTCGAAAAGTCAAATTATTAAGTTTACTCTATCTCGCATATAATTGCATTTATTTTCACTTCATTTGATATAAAAGAAAGTTAGAAACATTAAATATTATTAGGCATTAAAATAATTGTTTAGAATTATTCATTGAATTGCCATTAAGTGACTAAAATTAAATGACCTATAAGAATCTTGTAGTTTATTTTTGTTTGAATTTTAAAGTTTTCTACTTTCTAACCTAAAGTAACACCATTTAGCTCAAAAGAAGAGTTCAGAATTTCTTTTTAAGGAAAATAACTTGTATTTATATTATTAATAAAGCCATCGTATTTCTAAAGATAATTTAAAGACCTATAATATAAGAATTACCTTTAAATATCAAAATTTGGATTACCTGAAGTTAAAGCAATTTAATATGTAATTTGAGTCTATTTTAACTTAGTTTTGAATGGGATTAATATTTTTTAATTCAAAAGCATATCATTGAATTAATTGAAAGTTATTTCTAATCTATTCATATCAAAATAACTTATAAAATCACCTTTTTTATAGACATTATTTTCATAAAAATTGCATTTAATATTATTTAATTTATTTTCAGAAAAACAACTAATTCTTTATTAAAGATAAAAATCCGTTTATTATTATTCAAGTAAATTAAGTTCTTTTTTTGAATAAAAAGGTACAAACTCCAAAGTATCTAAAAAAATTTGGATTTTCAACGGATAATCTAAATTTTATATCAAAAAATCATTTTAAGTAAAAAAAGTTGTTAATTAAATAAATCCCACAGTATCAAAAGCATCAATTTTGAAATTTGAACTGCTAAAATAATTAACAAACTTCAATTTAATATTCTAATTATTTTCTTAGTAAATAATATTAATAAAAACACTTGCGTTAATTAAATATCTTTCAACAATTTAACTTTCATCCTAATTTTTTTCATTTAATCCTCCGGAATATGTACTCACGAAAAAATCATAAATAAACTAGCCACTATTTTGTGCAAATCCACTAATAATAAAATCAGTAACTGCCAAAGCCATTTTACTATCTTCATATTTCTAAAAGTTCAAATAATTCCCTTTCATAATAATTTCAGTATACCCGTTTCCTTAATTATAATTACTTTATTAAACACTCTAAACAACGCACTTATCTAATAATTTGATTTAATCATAAGAAGTCAAACATTTAGAGTTTCCCTAAGCACTGTAAATTTTTGGACTAGTCAAGATTCTATAGCCTTTATCATTATTATCTCCTAATAAAACTCCCCCGAAATTTCCATTATCTTTAATTAAAAAACTAATATGTATGACATTGTAGAATCTTAAGGGTCATATTAAAGTCCTTAAATTGGTTTTCCCCTTGCGTCATCAAATTTTAAATTATTTTAATCTGTCGATGACATTTTATCTGAGTTTGTGAAAATTTAAAGTCCATCTTAAATTTTAGGAAGGTTTTCATTAATAACCATTTTATTTAAAACACATAAACTATATATCGAGTTTCCGTCTAAAATTAATTAATTTGTTGATTTTTCGAATATTTATATGTTTAAAAAATTACGCGGAATCCACTATACTTTATAATTATTATTAATTAATAATTTAAATGATATTTTGTATGTTTGCCCTTTTTTTAAATATCCGACCCCTTTACAAATTATTTATTGGCCTTATTATTAACAACGGTTTTAAACTAAAGGCGAATATTAAGTTAAGTTATCTTCTATACTGTTTTCTAAAACTGTAAAATAACCAGTGCCTATTTCTATGTATAATATCGAATCTACATCAGGAGTATTTTTTAGTACTTAAAAATTTATACATATAGTATTGTAAACTGTATACTATAATAAAGATCTTTTTTAAAAAATATATAAAATTATATATTTGTTTGTATATTAAATTATTATTTTAACTTATATAATTAAATTGGTTATTAAGCAGGCATCCCGAAAGAAAGTTGAACACTAACATTGTCCGTATCTAATAGAATAACATTAGTTTATAAAGTATCTGTAGAAACAGTTCCTTTTTCTAATACTTAATTAACATAAGGTTCCATTAAATAAACTATAAAACCTGAATTTCCAGCACTTTTACTATTTATAGTAAAGAATTGAAAGTTAAATGCCCTAGATTCAATAATAGGTTAATTAATGAATAAAATTTCAATCAAATCATTTTTAACAGTATATTATAAATCTTGTCTTTAAATAACTACGCTTTGAAAATTTTCATTAGTAACACTTGTACAGGGTTTATTAGTAGCAAATTAAAATTAATTATTGGTAAGTTTAATAATAAATCTTCCTGATTCTTCTATAGTCTAAGTCTTTATATTCAATGTAATCTAATTAATTTTCTAAAATTCTCTTGCAGCTTCCGATTTATCAATATTAATCACATTTGCAATTAAAGTTTCTTTCATATTCGAAGAAACGATTATATTTCCTAAGTTCTCATTTATATTGTACAATATAGAGTCTTATTCTGTACCTGAATAAGTTGCCATTCCTATATTAAAAATTGTCCTAGTGTCATTTTCAGGGATACTCTCACTTATTAATTATCCACTTATAATTTAAATGTTATACCATTTTTATTATAACATACTAGATTCTGGTTAATTAAATTATAGAGTATATTCATATATATTATCTTGTAGTTTTTAAAAAAAAGTAGCTTTTAGTGAGAATGGAAGGTTTTCATATATACATTAAAATTCGTCTATTTCTCCCCATTTTATTATTGGATATTCTCGTAGGTCACCAATTTGAAAAGGAATTTTAAATTTTATTATATCTGTGCTTGTTATTCCGTATTCTAATTAAAATATTATGTTAAACTCATTAAATAAATCTTTGTTGGCATAATTTTAGTTTATTTACCAGGCTTTTATATAGCCTTAGGATGTTGATTTTTATATTAAATATAATAAAAATAATATTATGTATATTATTTATATTGTAAACATTATAAATAATTTAAATTATTTTATTTTGTTATGTTTTTTTTTTTTAAAAAAAAAATTGATTATTTTTTATTGAAATATTTTTTAAAAATTAATAAAAATAATTTACTTTTTTATGTAAAAATTTAGGAATCTTAAATTATATTTTTAAATATATTATAATATAAAAAAAAAATATTTTAAATTATAGTAAAAAACTTATATAAATAAATAACATGTTTTTGGGTATAAAATTCTTTTTATAATTTAAGTAAAAAAATTAAATTTGATTAAATTATTAGATTATTAAATTAAATATTTTCATATGTCTTTGATATCCATTAGTTTTAATTTATATTTATAATTAATTTTATTTTTTATATTTTATTAATTTAAGAAATTAATCTTTATTAAAAAATAACAGTTTTATATTTGTAAAAATAACTAATAAATAATTATTATATCTCAAAATTTCATTAAAATTTACTTTTAATTCAAAAAATTACAAAAAGAACATAAGATTTTTAAAAAAGTCAAAAAAATTGCAAAATAAAAAAATGTCAAAATTTTCTGGTTCACCAAATAAAGAATATGATCAAAAAATGTAAAAGTTAAGAATTGAAGCACTAGAGGATTCTGAAAAAGTAGCTACAAAATAAAGATTTGCCCTTTTTTCTTAGCCACCTTCATTAGCAACTGGAGATGATAAATAATATTAAAAAATTTATCGTAAATATAATTATTATTTATACAAAATAAAAATAACTAAAAAAATAAATTAAGATTAAAGAGATGAAAATGGAAAACCTATAACGGAAGCTAGAAATATATAATCTACAGCTTTAAAAAGAGGAAAAGCAAAAGATGCATATTTTTCAGTTTTGGGATTTACGACTATTGGTGATAAATATATTGATCCTGATTCAATAAATAGATAATATGAATTAGAAAAAAAAAAAAAAATTAAGTAAGATTAAGTTTTTAAGCCACCTTCAGGATATAAAACCATGTAAAATTTTTAATTCTATTATAAATAAATAAAAAAAATATTAGTATTAATTCAGCATTTAAACATGAAAATGAGGATGTTTACAATAAAAAAAATTACAGAGATGCAGACGGTAAATTAAAAATAAATAAATAAAAATATATTTATATAAAAATATATTTATATATTTTTAATTTTATATATTTTCTATATATATTAAACAAAAATTAGGAAAGGTATTAACTTAAAGTAAAAATATTACAACTAATCCGTCGTCAAAATTACAAAGTAAACATTATCCTCATTTACCTGATTAATATGAAAGATAAAGATAATTAAGGATATAAGAAATGAAAAAACATTAAGAATTATTAGGTGAAAAAGCAGCTTTTAGGTCTACTGTTTTTGGAAGAAGAAATTTTTTTAATGATAAAAAAACATTCGGTGAAGAAGGATTGAATTTAAAAGTATGAAAAATTTTATTAAAAAAATTTAAAATAAAAATACTAAATCTTTTTTTAAATTATAAAAAGAAAAGACCTTAAACAAATATTAAATTTAATATCATTAACCATGACGCACCATTTAAACCATCTAATCCTAACAAAAGAGTATTTATTTACATTATAAAAAAAATATTTATATGTTATAAGGGTTGGAACGGAACATTATCTAAATTTCCAGAATATAAACCTAACGGAGAAAAATAAGCAAAAAGATAATTTATGATAAAAGAAAAAGATCCTTTTAAGTATTTATTTATTAAAAAAAATATATAATTATATATAATTATATATAATTATAAATTATTATATATATATGTAATTTATATTAAATTTTAAGACCTAAATATTGTGGAGAATTAACAAGACCAACACCTACTATTAGTTGCCACCCTTTAAATATTAGAAAAGATATTATGAATGGAAGAGTTGCATTTTGAATAATTTATAAATAAATAGTTTTTATAATATATATATAAATAAAATCTAAAAATTTATAAATATTAAATTAAATATTTTTATTTATATATATAGATAAAAATATATATATATATATATTTTAATAAACAATAATTATAAATAAAAATATATTTAATCTTAATATTTCTTTTTTCAATTTTTTATTTTTTTTGGACTTTTTACTTTAATTACATTTTCAGCCATAAAATTTTTTATAGTAATATTCTAATGTTTAATTAAATTTAATTAGTCCATTTTATTATTTATCATACTTTATTCAGCAACAGGTGGATTATATTTAGGTAAATTTCCTTTAACTAAATAAATCCTTTTTTAAAAATGATTTTAAATTAAATTAACTATAATAATAAATTATTTATATTACCACATCATTTCTTCTGTTTAGATTATAAGTTTACCACTTTTAGGCTTTCCATATTCTATGGGAGTAAAAGATATAAAAAAGGTAGTTCCTTCTCTTCCATATTATTCTAATTCCCCAGATTTAGGAGAAACAGTGAATTCAGCATCTGAATCAGGAGTAAATGATGCAGTAAATGGCATATAAGATTTAGATTTATTTGTTAATTTAAAAGATACAGTAGATGTTTTATTTAAATTAGAACTTATATATATTATATCATCTTCTTTAGATTCTGTTGCTTCAAGTATTATTTTAAATCTTTATTTATTTTATTTTAAAATATATATATATATATATATATATATATATATATATATATATATATATTTACTTCCATCTTCCCCCACATTATCTAATTATGTTAATATCAACATTTTATTTGAAAGGTTTTAAAGGGCTAAATTTAGCCGAAAAAATAAGTTCATCTTAAGGATTTTCTAAATAATTCTTAATAGCTTTAATAATTAAGCTTTATTTAATTAATTTACTAAACTCTTTTGGAAGTTCATCTAATTCTAAAATAAAAGGATCTTAATTTCCTTTAACGTCTATAATCTAAAAAAAAATTGTAAAAGTAAAATAAAAAATATATATATAATACTCCGGGAAGTTTAATTTTGATTTCTTATTCACTTTAAGATCTACATTAACTTTTTAAATGATAAATAACTTAATTAACTACACTTTCAGTAATTCCTTTAAGTGGATATCTCCAAGAAACTTTATCATTCATGGTAACAACAATTTCAGCATAAAAAGTATTGATTTCCCTTGGTGAAAATGAAAAAGGAATTTAAATTACATTCATTCCAGGAACTTAAATAATAGCTTTTTCAGATTTTCCTTTAGTTATTAATTTGAATGTATCTTATCCATTTACCATTATTGCTGTTACGCTTATCGATTCTTTGAAAGGATTTTTAAAATGAATTGTTGATGAAAAATTTTTATTTAGTCCTACAGACACTATTATTTAAGGAAATTTAGTTGGAGGTATGCCTATACCAAATAATAAATATTTCCAACTTCCTATTTCTTATGTTTAAATTTATATTTCTCCATTTTCTTATGTCTTTTTTTTGAATAAATGTAAATATTTATATATAATATTTTTTTAAATAAACATCTAAATTTGATGGCATATAAATTATTTTTATTTATGTTCTAGATTATGGTTTAAGTATTATATTATCAGGAGAAACTGCAAAATTAGTTGGATTATTAATTATTGCTTAAGCTTTAACTTCTTTCTCAGAAGGATTTTCTAAATAAATTTCATGACAGTCCACTTTCCCTAACTCGCATTTTAGCAAATTAAGTCTCATAGGAATATTTTCTTCAGAACATAAATTTAACTCGTACCAAATTTCCCCTAAAAATTCATTGATAAACGCAATTGATCCTTTTTATTTTCCTACAAACAAAGGTGCGAAAACTAAATCATATTTAGCCAATGAATTAGCAGGTATATAAAGACTATTTTCACCTAATTAATTTTTTTTTGTTTAAAATAAAATAAAAAAAAATACCTATTAATCCACTTCCAGAAATCGCCACATCGAAAATAACAGATTTATTAAGCGGATTTTGCATTTCAATATTAAAACTAACCGCTTGTCTAATAAAAGTTTAAAGATCAATTTATTAATCTGCTTTCGGACTTTCAGTATTTAAAAGAATAGTATACCACAAATACTTATTATCGTTTTCATAAAAAGTAATCGAACCAGTATATTATCCACTTAAAATAGGCATAATATTAAGTACATACTTAATTTTTTTTCCCCCTTTTATACTAATAAATTTATCTCCAGAACAACCAATGAGATCAGTTTCAACTTTATATGTAACTTCCCGATCTGGATAGGGATTTTTTATTTCAATTTCTTTAATAGTTTATTATTTAGCCTTACAATTTATCACAATATGATCTTCAGCAACCGGTTCTTCTCCAAAACCCTTAAGAATATACTCAAATTAATCATTAGTTAAAGGATTATATAAAGTAAGCTTACTTTCAGCTTCACAAATCCATACTGGAGCGAATTTAATAGGAAAATAAGCTGTGGATTTTTTCTTTATGATAAAATTTTACAACAATGCGCTTTAAGTTTAAAATAAATTACTGTTATTCCCTTCTTGGGTAATATGGACCCTTATATTCCATTCTTTATCGGAATTATTAACAATAGGGATTTCCTAAACAATAGAATGTCTTGCTGGTACTCTGAATTCCAAAATAGCTTTTATTGGTTTTGGAAAAGAAGTGACTTCACATTTGTATCTCCTGATGTCTGTTTTGGTTGCATTTTTTAATACTAGAAAAAATCTGTAATCTTTAACAGGATATTTAAATATAAATTAAAAATAAAGTCTATTTATTCCTGAACCTTGGTATAATCCTGAATTATTATTATCTTCTATTTATTTATTTTCTTTTCGGTTGATTTTATAAGGATTAGAAACCGTAAATGTATTTTTGATTGAAATAAAAGAAGCTGGGGGTTATATTTCTACATCATAAACTACTGTATCTGTGGAGCCTCCCGGGAAGTTTATTTTCTCATTTTTAATAACTGAAGATTGTGTATTTTTACCCACTACAGTATTACTAATTCCTTATTCATTTTTAGAAAATTATTTATCTCTATTTTTTTCAATGAAAAGCTATTCTACATATTTTCTAGCCTTTATCATATTATCGTTTATATGAGAAATTTCTTACTCATATTAATGCGGTTCGTCAACATAAATAACTCCATTTGAATTATTGGGAAATTTTAAGATTTCGTTTGTAAAATTTGGCTAGTCTACATTTCCTATTATTTCATGTTAGCATTCTCCAACATTTGGATCTCGAAAAATAATATAGCTTTGTTAAGTTTCTAATTATAAAGGAACAAATATTATTGGAATATTGACAGTTTATTATTTCAGAACTTTAATGCAAGACCTTTAGCAGAAAAAAGCAGGGAAAACATTATTATTATTAAAATTATTTTATTAATTAGGAATTTGTAATTCAGTATTTTATGAAAATTAAGTCTAATTTAAAAAGTTTTTTTTATTTTTTTTATCTTCCGAATTTTTATAATTATCAGAAATTAAAATAATCTAAAAATCGGCATTTTATTAAAATTTATTTGTAAAACTTATAATTTTTTCAAATGGTTCATATAAAGGACTACTTATATTCCATGTAAAATCTGATACTCTACCTGTTATTTAGGATTTAAGTTCAAATACAAGAGCGGCAGCACATACATTGCTCTCTTTTTTGTTTGTAAATCGTATTTTTGCACTAACAGGTTCTGAAACTCTAGAAACAAACTTCACTTTATATTTATAAGCAACTAAACCAGGTTCTATAACGAAGCTATCGCCTCCTTCTAATTAAAAATCTCCTTATGGAGGATCTAAATTTACCCAAAAACTTATAGGTTTATTTGTAGGATTAGATAATTCGATATTTTTAATTACTTCTTCTCCTAAAACACATTAAAATACTATAACTTATTCTTTAGGAATGTAATGCGGCAATGAGTGAAATAACTATATACTTGATAAAAGAATTTCTCTCATAGAAGGTTTAGCAAAATCATTAACAACCAAATGTGTTTATAGGCCTATTTACTAATATAAAAAAATAAACATATATTTATATATATAAATATAATTTCATATATTCTCTTATATTTTTATATATTTTCATATATTTATTTATATAATTTACATTTAACCCTTATATTAATTTTTCAGCATTAAAATTAATTTGTTATATATTACTACAATTTTATCTCATTTATTAGAAATATTTTTAACAAGATTTACCTATATAAGCTTATATAGCCGTTGCGAAAATAATACCATCTGAAAAATCTTCATCAAAATTTCTAATTCTTCTATTAAAATTAGGTTAAATAACCTCAAATTAAATTTAAAACCAATGTAAAATAATTGCTTCATTTAAATTAATAAAATTACTTCCTTCTAGATATTCAGGAATATTTTATTTATCAGGAGGTATTCCTTGCATATTCTTGAATGCTTTTATATTAATTTTACTCAAAAAATATATTTTTAGCATCTGATATATTAAAGTAGTCCATGCATCAATAGATATATATTAAAATTTCTATTAAGTAAGCTTAAAAACAGAAGGACTTAAATACGCAATTATTTTCTAAGGTAATGTTTTCATATAAAAAATATAATCGCTATATGAAAATAAATTTTCGGGTCTAATATGGTTTAATAATGCGCCTTCGCTTTTAAGGCTTCTAATTAATTCATCATACTGTTTATATAATTTATTTACCTAAAAAAAAATATATATACATATATATTTAATATTCATAAATATTTTTTTTTACTTTTTCTGTTCTTTTAATCAAAGATTCAAAATTTTATTTAAAAGGGAAATTATTTTTTCGGGTTAAATATATAAGAAGCTCAAATAATTAACTTCCGTTATTTTCAATAATATTAATAGGAAAACTTTAAATAGGCGAAGTGAATACATGAAAATTAAGCCATCTAGTTAAAAATTCAACATTTTATTCCAAAAACTAATTCTATATGGGTGTATAACCTAAAATTGCTCTCATAGATCCGTTTCCTCCTCCATAAGAAGAAAGTGTTTTGTTCGAAAATACACTAGTCGCTCCTCCAATTATTTTTCTTTTACCCGAAGGTTCGTCATTGACTGAATTTATATCATTATCCCATTCTTAAAGCATAATAGGTGCCCTATCGTGATCTAATTCAATTTTATATTCTCCCTAACACCTTTATAAGTAAGAAAAATTCGAGAAAAGACAATTATCAGTTGTTCCTGAAATATATATATCATAAATTCGATCCGCATGGTCATAAAATTCTATCCTTGTAGTAAAAGAAATCGGTTTTTTGCTTATAAAAGAGGCCTCAACTTTAATTTTAGTTTTAGATATTCCCAAATTCTTTCCTTCTGGAAAATCCAATTTTAAATTAAGTTTTTATAAATCATCTATTATTCTATACTTTAAATTTAAATTCTCATATCCGCAATTAATTATTCTAAAAACACATCTAGATTCTATATCTAAAGGAACAACAGGTAATAATATCTATTTTTTAAAAAAGAAATATGTAAAAATAAATACATATATATATTATAAACTTATTTTCTATCAAATTAAATTTTAGGGAAAGCGCCTTCGCCTTTTAAAATAATATCCATATAAGCGACATTAACTTAAATTTCAGGATCATCCACATATAAAGGTAATGTTACTTTATAATTATCTTATTCAAAAGGATTAAAAGAAACAGTTATAAATTTAGTTTCACCAGGTCCTACTTCTCCACTAGAGGGACTAATTTCGAACACTTTTCTTTGTTCAAGAAATGTAGTATCTATTCTCCATTTAACTGTATTTTTATCTGGATTAGAAAAAGATAGTTATTTTTATTTTCCCAATGAAACTTTATCTGGTTCAATGATGATTTTTCTTTAAAAATCTAAAATTTAAGGATCTATTAAAAATTTGGGTTTTAATCCTCTACAAATAACCATTTTATTAAGTCCTGGGATAACTCCATAATTTTTAAGAATTATAGGAATTCTAAATTTGTATAATTTGAAGTTTTTGGGTAAGAATTTTAATTAAAATGAAACTTTTTGTCCTGCCTTTATATTCAAAAGAAAGTATTTAGGCTTTTTATCATCATCGTTTTAATTTTCAGAAAATTAAGAAGACCTTTCATCATCATCAAAATCGATCTCGTTATTATTATTATTATTTAGTTTATTTAAAAAAATTTATTTTATATTATTTTATTCAAATAATTAAGATTCTTCTTATCCTTCCTCAATAACATGAAGAAAACTTTCGTCTTAATCATCATCTTTTATAGGAATAATTTCCAGGCAATCTATTCCGTCTTTTTAATTTTCTCCGGCATCTTCCCCCGTTCTTAAATCAATAATCAATTAAGAATTTAAAATTGATTTATTGACAATGTTCATTAATGCCTATCCTGGATTACCTAAAGTTGTTATGTTTCCAAAATCAAATTTATCCTCCTCTATTTCGATTTCAGGTATTATCGTCTATACAGAAAACGGTAATTTAAGTGTTTTTCCTCCACGAATATATATTAAGATTTCACCTTTTATTTCTTATTCTAATTTAGATAAGAATTTTATATATATAATTTTAGATTCATCAGGACCTATTTTACCTTAAGGATTTAATACTTCTAAACAAGATGGCAGTTTTTATTAATATATACAATATACAGCTTATTATCTACTATTATTTTTAATTTCAAATTATTTATTTTCTATTTATGCAACAGGTATTTACTATAAATGTTGATTAAAATATTTAAAAAAAAAAATTATATAAATAAATATATAATTTAAATATATTTTAATAAAAATATAATATTTATTTATATATTTTTATATTTTTATATTTATATATTTTTATTTTTTTATATATATTTATACATTATTATATTAATATATACTTATATATGTTATTTATTTACCTTTAAATCAAGTTAATTAATTTTTAAATTACATCTAGCCTCAATAAAAGTACCAATACATTTTAAATATTAATCCTATCCATCTATTACTTTAAGAATAAGTTTTTCTTCTTCAGTTCTTTAAATATTTTATTAATTATTATTTTATTAATTCATCGTAAAGCCTGATGTAGAATTTCCATTTATAACCGGCACAATATTTGATGGTGTATATGTAATAATACATTCAACAATACCTCCGCCAGCCTAAACTATTCCTTCTTCAGGTTTAACACTAAAACATTTGTTAGCATTATTATTTATCCAGGAAAACTTCGCATTTGCATTTCCATTATTTGTAAGTTTTATACTTTCCGAAGTCGTCATTTCAATGTTATCATCACTGAATGTCATTTTAATTTAGTTTTTTGACATTTCGAGTTTTACTTATTCTATATTTGCCATAACTTAGAATTCGAACGGATGTTTTTCATTAATAGTATATTTTATATTAGTTTTAAGTGCACCAATATTTTTTGAATTTAAGACAACTTCAAATCCAGCTGTTTAACCACTTGGAATAATTTAAGTTTATTAATAAGTCTTTTTAAAATCATTTCTATCAGTAAATAATTTAACCGAAATAGAAGTTCTTAAATCATTTCTTACTTTAAAACATTTCAAGGATTCAGAATTAACATAAACATTGCCAAAATTAATATGAATTGGTCCAGCAAATATCTTCTATAATTATTAACCGGTCAATTATTAACTTGAATCTCTTATTTCAGAATGATTCTTAGGTTCACTGGGAAATTTTTTCTTTATCATAACATTAGGATTCATATCAAATTATTTATTTTCATCCTATTTAAAAGGTTCATATTCATCAATAGGCTTTGTAACAAAAAGTGTTTCTTTAGCTCTAATATAAAAAAAAAATATATTTATATATATATATATTTATATATATATATATATATATATATATATATATATATATATATATATATATATATATATATATTACTCAGGTAATTATAACTGAGGGACTGAAATATTTGTATTTACCATACCTACTTCATATTCATAATCTATAGGAGCATCTAAATTTCGTATTCCATTATTATTTGTTTTAATCTAATTATTATTGTTTTCATCTTCATCTATATCTTTTTATATATCGTCTTCAATTCCTAACATTTTTAGTTTTTCTTTCATTTATTCGAATTTTTTTTAAATTATTATATCTTTTTCTTATTTAATCCTTTCGTGTCTTTAATTTTTTAATTCATTATTATATTTCTATCTATTATCGAATAATCTTTAAAAATCTTTAATTTTCTCTAATTAATATTAAGTATCATTTTTTATTTCATCCAGAAATTTCGGATAGACACCAATTTTAAATTTTTATAGACTTTTCGACAAAAATTATTATTATTATGTAGTATTATCTTCATTAAAACATTCATCATTACATTTCTCCTAATCTATATATATTTTTTCATAATCGTAATCTTCAGGTAAACTTTCAGGTCCTCGAGTTTACTTTATTTTATTTTTATTAATTTAAGTACAACTACCAAGTAATTTAATCTTTAATTCATATTACCCATCAATAAGTTTTAATACAAGATTTTATTTAAACTAACCTATACCTTTAGGTTTAAAAGCTACAATAACAACCATAGTTTAATCAGCTAAAAGAACAAAACTTTAAGGCTAAAATTAAAATCCAGGTACATTAGGAATATTAATATCTACAGATATTTCTTTATTTCTATTATTTATCTTTAACAAAAAATATATATAAAATAATTATTTAATAATAAATATAAAATTAATTTAATAATATATATATATATATATATATATATATATATATATAAAACTTCAAAAGTCATTTCCCTATGCTCATTAACTTAGCAACTACCAAACTAAAGTACATGTTTATTAATTTTAACCATAGGACAAATTCCTCTCCCAGTTAAATGTAAAATAGTAGGATCTTATGTTTCTCCTTCAATCTCAAATATAGCCGAATATGAATAATCTTAGATTTTCAAGGCCATTTCTTATTTATCTAGTGAATATTTTTACGTCCAAACCTTATTATCGTATTCTACAATAGCCTGACATTAAAATACCAATTTAATTTACGAATAACTATTAATGAAGCCTTCTGAAGGTTCGCAAAACATTATTTTTTCCGTGAGTTCTCTTCCGAAAACATTCGGTGGTTACACATTAGTGATATCATCTAAATTATATAAAAGCCCATATTTAAACCTAGTTTTAAACTTGTATTTTTTCGGAGTATTATTGACTAAAAATCCAACAACTTATTTCCTCTACCCATAATAAAATACTCCAAAATCAAACTAAGATATCTAATTTCCCCCTTCATCTATTACAAATCTATTAAAATCAACCGAAGTGGCATTTATATCTATAAATTTCTAAATACACTACGCGTCTGTTATAACATCTATAACTCCGCGGTAAATGCCGGCTTCTTATGGTGTATAAGTAAAAAATGCTTCGTATTCTTACCCTGCTTTTATTGAAAACTAGGCAGGTTGGAATTATATTTATTTACAGTCATGACATTTAAGTTCTACTTTGCAACTTGAATTTCCCTCATTTTTAAATAATATGTTTTCCTTTTTTTCTTTTTTTAATTTCACGAAACCTAAATTTATAAATGGCTCGAAAATTAATTAACCGCAAGTCGCATATGCGTGCAAAGGGATATTTCTTTCATAACCATTGTCTGATATTATCTGTATCATATCATGAATATCCTCTGCTGTTTAGGTCTCGAAAGTTATTGTTAGTTTCATTGCTAAGCCAGCCGCTATAGCCCCTTACATATCATAATCAACCCTAAAATAAGCCGTTTGAGGTTAAAATATACGAATTCTTCGGGCTGTTTTGGTTAAATTTCTTACATATACAAAAATTTCATATGTTTAATTTATTTTTATGTCTTTAAATATTATCTCGCTAGGTTGAATTTCAATTGGATCTTGATTTGATATAAACTTTAAGGATTTGTTATTTAAAAAACCATTATTTGTTTCTAATAATTTTTTGCTAGACATTGTTTAATGAAAATTATTATAATTTGAATTTTACTCATTAATATTTGTTTTGTTAATTAATTAAAATAAACTTTTTTATGATATTTATTAAAATTATTGCTTTGAATTAGTTAATGTTTAACTTTTAGGTAAATTTCGGTTCTAAGATTAGGTTTTGGGTATATTTCTTTAATATTAATTTTTTTTTTTTTTTTAATGAATATCAGGAGTTAATAAAGGAAGCCTTTATTTATCTTCTTTTTATTTTTACATCTTTATTTTTGATTTTATTTTTAATCACAGTTATATTTTTAATTTTTTTTTATATTAAATTAAATTAATAATTTTAAAGTTAAAATATGTTAATTTATAATTTAATTAATAAATTATAAACTAAATGAATATTAAATTTTTAAAAAATATAATTTGATATTAATAAAATCCTTATATATATTCATAATTTTATTATATAATAATTAACATATTATTCTCAATATGTATTTTTATACAATCTTTAATTTCAATGATTTCCAAAATGAATATGTTCTAAAAATTTCTTTTATACTTATGATTAAGTATCTTCTTCTTACCAAAAGAATAAGATTTTTTAATCAGTAGAAGATGAAGAATATATTTATTTAAAGAAATATAATTTATACAAAACCATAGTAACAACTTACAAAGAAATAATAGTAAATAATACAATAACTTTTTTAGAAGTTTATCCTTCTTATTAAACTAATTTATTAATTTCCCTATTTAAAAATTATAAAAAAATATAAGAATATTATAAAAAATAAAAATACTTATAAAAGTTATTAATTAAAAATAATATTGATGCAAGAACTGCATATGAAAATAAACAAATTTAAACAATGGTATAAGGTATAACAGATAATATTGAAACAGGAATAAATACGAACAAACTATATCCATAAATACAATATGTCTTTTTATAAAAAAATAAGATTCAAATATATATATATATAAGACTTAAAAAAAGCTAAGGCCATTATTCCCAAATATTTTCATCAAAGTAGCAACAAAAGAAGGGACTAAAATAGCATACATTAAAACCTTTATATATAAATAAAAAAATTAATATATATATATATAAAAACGGATAAAAAATTATAAATATATATATATATATAAATTTCAAAATAATAATAATAAAAATAAAAAAATATATATATATATGTATATATTTATAAAAATATATATATAAATATATATATTTTTATTTATATATATATATTTTTATATATATAATTAATAATATTACTAATGTAAATGCTATTTTTAAATAACTAAACTTGAATTAGAAATCTTGCTTTTATAAATTTAATATTTATATTTTATAAATTTTTCGATAAATATAAATATAATTATTATTTTACTTTATTCACTTATAAATATAATGATAAATTTCCTGAAGCATATAAGCAAAATATTAATGTTATATATATCCATAAAGGTCCATATCTATATTTTTTTATAATAAATAATTTATAAATTATTAATTATATTATAAAATATATTCTTTTTTTAAAATATACAATTCAGGATTTTCAATTTCAAAAAAATTATTTTTGCAAGGTAAGATTGTCATATTACTCTTTTCATTACACCATAAGAGGATACTTTATCAAAAAATGGTCTAAAATATCTAAATATAAATTATTTTTTATTTTTTTAAAGCTAATTATAAATTGTTGTTTAAATACTCTAATGTAAAAATAGAACAAATTTTTTCTTTAAAACTTTCATTATTCTTAACTTCTTCCTATTATTTTTATTTTTCCTAATCTTCTTTATTTATATATTGATTCAAAGCGAACTAAACTAGCTATTATTATAATTTTAACTTTACTTATTCGTCCAAAGTATAATATATACTTGCCCCATCAACCTTGTTTTATTCAGTTAAATTTAAATTACTCTTTATTTTTGATTACAAATATTTATATTAATTAATTATAAATATATTTATAATTTTAAATTACTTTCATAGGACTATTTCCTGACTTTAATTCAGATAAATTATTATTGCTAATCATTTTTTTATAAGTATTTATTAATTTTCTATTTTTTTATATTTATATTTTTTATTTAATTTATTATAAATAAAAATTTTTAATAATAAGAGTTATTTTTTAACAAATAAATTTATTAAATAATAAATCGATAAAAATAAGTTTATAATAATTATCTCAAAATAATATTATTTTATATTATAAGTAAAAAAAAATGATTAATTATTACTTAAATTTAATTATTAATGTATTATTTATAAATATAAGCTAAAAATAAATATTTTTATTATAATCATAAATTAAAATTCGAATGTATATCATGCTTTTATAAATAAGAATATTAATGTTTATTTTTTATTTTTTATAAATTTTATAAAATATTGTTTTTTTAATTAGAAAAACTTTATATACAAAAATAAACATTATTAATGATATATTAATATCTTTTTTAACACTAATTAAAAATATAATTATTTTATATATAGAAATATATTTAATTTTATTAAGATATTCACTTAATTTTTTTAATAAAAAATGTAGTTTATTAAAAAAAACTAATCAAAATTATTAGCTATAGGCGGTATAGTAACAGCTTCCTTAGGTTTATTATGGCTTTAAAAATAAGCATCTAAGTAATCATTAAAATAAAATATAAATAACATATTTTACTAATTCATTGACGCACATATATCAGATAATTAATAAGAAATTGAATAAATATCCTTAAAATATTAATTTATGTATTCAGAAATATTACTTAAAAATCAAAATTAAAAAAAATCAAAAGAACATTACTATATAAAATTCGTAATTCAATCTTTTTAAATTTTCCAAAAGCAACTTATAGATTTAAACGATAAAGATGCCATTGATGAATAAAAATAAAAATAACAAAAAGAAGAATAACTAATAAAAAAAGAAACATCAGCATATAAAAACCTAATGTAATTAATTTTAAATACAATAACAATTTAACAACCAGAATACGACACAAAAACTTGGTTAAGAAAAATATTTTTATAATAGCAAAAAATAACCGAAAAAATAGATATTTTTGATTTATTTTTTGTTATTTCTCATTACACATGTGAAGAAGATGTAATAAATTTCTTCAAAAATTACATTCTAGATACAAATAATGAATTTTTTAAAAAAAATTTAATGTAAAAAATAGTCAATAATACATAAACATGTTATTATGAAAAAGAAATAAAAACCGATTGTTTTTATTTGAGCAATTTTTTCGTTTTGTTTTAAGATAAAAACCTTGTAAATTAAATAGAATAGAAAATAATAGTTGATAATTTTCTGATGCTAGCTTTTTGTATTTCTTAACGAAATAAAGACTTAACATCATTTGTTAAATATGAACTTTTTTTTAAATAATGGATAGAATTAGGTTAATTACTTATTAAAGGAAAAAACTTTAATGACGAATCTATTAAGGAAATTTATAAAAGTATATTAACAGTTTTATTAACACTTACAATTTCTTTTAATTTAAAAAATGATGAACTTCCTGAATTAGCTAGTATTTATGCTTCAAGAATTATTATATATACATCTGTTATTTTAACAGCAGATTATATGATTTATACTTTAGATTTATTTTTTAGAAATCTAAGGGAATAAAATAAATTTTTTTAATATAGAGATACTTTTGTTTAAATACTTCATGATTATATTTTAGATTTACTTTCTTTTTATTAATAGTATAATTCTTCGAATTTCCATAATGTACTAATAGTAAGTATGACACTTATTATTTTACATTCACATGATTGTATTCCATCTTCTAAGACTATTTAGTAATTTTGGAAAAACATTTAGTTGAGAGATGATTAAAAAGTTTTAAATTTAAAAGAACCTTACTTTAGAATGAGTTTAACACCTTTTTATGATGCTGTAGGTAAACTTTAAATATATTATATTATTTTTTTTATTTTTTTATATAAAAATAAAGGATTATAAGAAATTATGGAATCAATAATATCTTAATATTCATAAGAACATATAAAAATAGTTAGAAAATCTTTAACTTTTATGATAAGTAAATCTTCTATTTATTATAGATTAAAAGTAATAGGTTATTAATTTTAAATATTAAGTGAAGAATTTGATGAAGAAGAAATGCAATAACATATAATGTAATAACTATTTAAAATAAAGGACGAATATTCAATATAAATTAATTCTCTTCATATACTTGAAAAAATAATGACTCCGATTCACTATTTAAATTAAATCGATATATAAAAAGATATCAAAAGCTAAGAAGAAATTTAATTTTTAGAAAAGGAGATTGAAAAATATATTTAAATAGGAATAGAATACTTGAAATTCGCATTTGAAGGTAAAGACATAACAAAAAAAGAACTTTTAATGTATTTAAGAAATGGTTTCTATTTAAAAATAAAAGAAGAAAACATTTAAAATTATTATGATTTCGAAATAAAAGATGGTGTTTAAATATGCAAAAGTAAAAAAGATTATTAAAATATAGAAAATGTTTGTCTTATATTTTTCGATAAATAATTCTTATTGTAACATTTTAATGAAAATTAAATAAATGATTTGGAAGCAAATCATCAACTTTATAATACTCTAAGTTATATAAAAGAAATTTAGTTGAAATTATTCACTAAAGCATTCGCTTTAAATTATTTTATTAATGGTTTACTTAAAAATGAAAAAGTTATCAATTAAAGATTTTTAAGTAAGGCTGTAGTTATCTATGAGTTAATTCTTGACATATTTCAATATAATTAAGGATAAGACTTTAAAAATAATGCTTCTATTATATAAGATGAGTTAATAAATAAAGATGATATATTATTAAGGTTTTAAGAATTTAATGATAAATAAGTTAGTAATGAATACTATAAAAAAGAATTAAATACAAAAATTCTATTAAGATTAAAAAATAAGATATAAAAACTAAGAAATGTTTGAAATTCTTTTATAAAAAATATATTAATTATAAATTAAAATAAATATAATTATATATATATATATATATATATATAATAATTTTATATTAATTTTTTTATATAAATATCTTATGAAAATAAATATTTTATTTATATAAAAAAAATGTATTTCTTTAATTTCTTGTAAAACAATTTAATTGATAATAATTTAATTAAAGAAAATTAAAAAATAAATACAAAAATTAATTATTAATAAATCTTTATCTAATTCAATTATAATAATTTAAATTATATTTTATTTAAATTAATTAAATTTTTAATAATAACTAATTTTTGCTATTTAACTATAAAAAAATAATTAAAATTAATTATAATAGAAAAAAAAATTATATTAAAATATATTTTAATCTTTTTATTAATTTTATTAATTAATAGACATGGAGGAATTATAATTAAATAAACAAATATCAGAATCAGGATTAATATAGAGTACTACCTTAAAAACAATTAGAAATTTAAAAAAAGCATTCAGAATAATCATAATAAAAATCAAATAATTAAATAGATTTAAATTAAATAATACAAATTTCATAATCTGTTTAAAACTTTGATACACTAACATAACATTTAAATTAAATAATGGAATAGTAAAAGAGATATGTTAATATAGATATAGAATATGTTAAAAGTTATATAATATCTAAAAGCAATATTTTATAGAAATGTAACTAATTATAAGATGTTTTATAATCATAGAAATTTAATATTTATTTTAATGATTTTTTACAAAAATTAATATATTAAAATGATATAAATTCTTCTTTTACAAGCTTAGATTAGAAAATGTTTAATTTTATTGAAAGTTTTATTATCAATTAAACATAAAAATATATTGAATAATAAAATATTAATAAAAAATATAAATAATAATAACATAACTTTTAGTAATTTATTGATTAAAAATTAAGGTAACTTAAACATGAAAAAGTAAATATTAAAATTGAATGAATATAAAATATTTATAAAATTAATAAAATATAATTATTTAAGTATAATATATAAATTTAATAAACAAACTAATATCGTAATATTATATCGAAAATATATAAATTAATTATAAGTAATTTCAAAAATTTTACAATATTGTAAATTGTGGAAAGCGTCGCAATATTAATTTTCTCAGCTTTTTGTAATTATTTACACTGATTTTTTATAATATGAAGTTAATATTAAATAATTCAAATATTTTTTACTTAATTTTGGAACTGTAAATATTTTTGACGATAACTCTATATATATAAATAAAAATTGAAATTATTAAACTTTTTACAATTTTTATAAAATTAAAACTATTAATAATAAACACAACAAAATAAAATGATATTTAATTTTATAAATTTTAATTGTAAAAATAATTATAATGTTATAAAATAAACTTTTATTAAAATCATTAAATACATATAAATAAATTTACTTAAGAAATTAAAAATTTTAATATAAAATATATTTATAGTTTAAATTATAAATTATATAACTCCCTTATAAAATTTATTTTATTAATCATAATTTTAATTCTTAGATAAAAATAAAATATTTAATACAATGTATATAAATTTTCTTAAAAAATAATTGATATTATAAATAAAATATAAATTATTGATAAAATAAATGCTTATATAGATGAAAAAGTAAAAATATTAAATATTAAATATAAAATATTAATAAATTATGTAAACAAAGTAGAAAATAATTTCAAAAATAAAAATAATTTTGATTATTAATATATATGCGCAGTAGAATATGAAATATTTTAAAAGATAAATTATTTGAAATAAAAAAAATAAGAAATTAGAGGAAAACTTAGAGGTATTAGTAAATTATGCTTATGGTTGAAAAAAAAATTTAATAATAATCTTATAATATCAATAATATATGAAAATATGAAACAATTAAATTAATACTTTCAATATTTCGGAAGATAAAAAACTTGAAAAAATATTTATATCGTTTGTAATTTTATATAATTATAAAGTAAATAATTAGAATTTATAAGTTTTTTTAAATATATAGAACACAAAAAATCTAAAATTAATA